GTCCGCCTGGCACCATCATTATTTGTTTTTCGGTGCCAGGCAGACCTCTCTGGGGAGCACATTCCATAGATTGGGTGCCACCGCAGAGAAAGCCCTCCTCCGAGTACTTACCCTCCTAATTTCTTTCACGGAGGGTTCCCGGAGAAGGGCCTCTCCCGCAGATCTCAAGGGGCGGGCGGGTGGGTGTATATGGATGTAAGCGCTCCTTCAGGTAACCAGGACCCAAGCCTGGTTTAGGGCTTTACAGGTACCCCAAATGTATTAGGTACCCCAAATACACCCAGGTGGAAAGAATTAGAAGTATTAAAGCAGGGATGGGGGTGTCAGTGAGTCTGATGGGGCTTGCAGAGATTATCTGCTGCAGAGGAAAACACACTCATCTCCAATCATCTTCAGTCAACTGTTGACAGCATCTTCCACCTTCAAGTCCCATGTTTTTTCCCCATCTTTCTTTCTTACCAAGGATGGCACAGTGACATCATGCCTTCTGATTATTGGAGCAAGGATCCGTGCTGTCTGGTAGACAGCAAGCCTTATTTTGGTATATTGGTGCTTACGGTCATGCAGCATCCACGAATGACAGGAGTGTGGCTAGTTTGAACTGCAGTGCAAGGCTGCTGCCCTCCCGTCACCATAATGATGAGCGGCCTTCTCTACCTCCAACACCAGCAGCTCACGCCTTTCTCCATATTTCTGTATCCCGCCTCACAAGGGAGCTGTGTGCTTTAGAACCAAGTTTATACCAAAAGCTCAAATTTAAAATACGTACACAGAATTATTATTATTTTTTTTGTCCCATGAGCAGCTGTTGCCGGGGGACGCGACACCGCCTGTCATCCCCGCCCACCACCACTGCGACTCTCATTGGCCTCGCCGCGCACCCACGTGATCGTGGCTATTCAAGAGCCGGGAGCGCAGCCCGCGCCTTCCTTTCGCGTACTCTGACGTCACCACTTCTCGCCTTTCAGTCCGCGGCCAGAAGTTGCGCATGCGCAGCCTGAGAAGTCGGAATAGGCGGTGCTTGCCGCGGCCGCTGCGGAGCTGCGGAGCGGTTCGCGGTTCTTGGGCGCACGGACACTCATGGCGCTGCCTGGGAGGCCATTCGGTGGGTAGTAAGCGGAGCGTTCCCTCCGCCTTCACTTTATTTCCCTTTGAGCGCTTTCGTTCCCTTGCTTTGCTTTTCTTAGTTCCCGTTCACGCTCATATGGGCCCGCTTTCGTCTCTCCCCTCTCGCTCGTTTTCAGTGCAAGAGAGGTTGAGAGATGGAACATATGAACAGAGTCTTAAATTTAGTTTTTAATTATCCGACCCTACCTGGCTTTCCTCGGGGAAGAAGAGAGGAGCTGCCAGACGTTTACTTAAGTGGTCATGGAGCAGCCGGTCTCCTAAGAACAAAAGAGCCCCGCTGATTTCAGACCATCTGTTCACGCAGTGGCCAGCCAGTAGCCTGCAGGGAACTCGGAGGCAGAACGTAAGTGCCCCACCACTTTCCTGCCACTATTCCCCAACAGCTGGTGCACATGGACTGACCGTCCCTGTTACAGGAAAAAGCATATAGCCATCAGGACTAAGAATAATTGATTGCTTATTTCCAGGATAAGAAAGACCATTTAAAATTCACTTTTAAAGCTGTTCTAATTGGTGGCTATCACTACATCTCATGGAAATACATTCTGTAATGTAATGGTGCTTTGTATGAAGTACAGCACTATACTAAATCTTCCTTTAGCTTTATAGAATGACCCCAGATTATAGTATTATAAAAGAAGGAGAAAAGTGTCACCCAGCTACATTTTCTGTGCCATGAATAATTGTGTACATCTCTATCATGCTTCCACTTATCTTTTTTCCCTAAGCTAAATGAACTGCTCTGGATCCATGATCATTTTATTGCCTCTTTCTGCCTTTTTTCCAAGCTCTATAATAATCTTTTTCAGGTATAGTGACCAGAACTATACACAGTATTTCAAAGGTGGTTGTAATATAGATTCATATAAGGGAAATATGATATTGGCATAATTTCCCCAATTCTTTCTTAATTATGCTTAACATGGAATCTGTGTTTTTCACAGCCACACACTGGGTTCATACACGAGCTGTCCAGCACAACCCCAAGAGCTCTTTCTTGGTTTCTCATCACTAGCTCAGATCCAGTCAGCTTGTATTCAAAGATGGGATTTCCCCCCAGTGTGTATCACTTACCTCATTGCCATAACAACTTCCTTGGACAGGGCTAGAATCTGTATATTTGACACCAATTACCCAATGAATGGCACTGGGCTCCACAGACTTAAACAGAGAGGGCCCTACCGCACCTCACTCCATTCAAGTGACTGGAAAGACATGGCAAATGTTATCCTGTCAAATGTGCCTTTACCCCCTCTCACAACCAACTGACAATTTGGTATAACCCAAAACTCAAGATTCTGAGTAACTGTTTCTTGGGGGGCAGTGGGCTGAGAGAATATTCTAACATTAGATCAATTAATAATCAGACTGTGAATTCCTCTCCTTTGTCGATTTACAGAAAATATATCAACTGTCCCAAAACACACACTGGCAACACCTCCACATAAAACACATGCTCCATTCCCTATATGGCCAAGCAGCATTCAAGCTGACAACATATATTTACAAAAAGCTCCTAGAATCAACTTGACATCCAGACCCCCCGGAGAAGAGTAGAGTGGGGAATTAGAATGCCATATATAACCACAACAGAGGAAAATAGCTGCATCTTCTATATAATCTGTATCCCCCAACCTGAAACCACTTTATACAGTACACGTTACTCTTTTGAACTCCACAGTGCTTAAAACCACCTTCTAATAAATGTTGGTGATGTGGGATAGCAGAAGCATTATTAGTGCACATGCTGAGGAAATACCCAGTGGTGGCCTCCTTCTGGTCAGAAGTTTTTAGACACATCATTGACCTAAGCATAACATTCTTGTTTAAAGATGTCAATGAATTGCTGAATTACATTCGCACATCCTAGAAACTATCCTTTAGCTACTACTAGTAGACCAGGGGTCGTCAAACTTTTTCAACGGGGCCAGTTGAAAGGTGGCGAGACGGGGGTGCCTGTGGGCGTGGGCTGGAGAGTTAATCTCCACCCAGGTTATGCTTTACTTAGTTGAACTGATTTTAACTATTTGTAAAAATATGTGTTTTGTTAGTTGTATTTTGGACTGCTAGACAAGTTTTTGCCCAAAAATGGAGTAATAATAGAATTTAGCTTTATTGGAGAAATTGATGCAATGTCAGGTTTCTAAGATATCACCTAGATATCAATGCCTTTGAACATACATGATCATCACTTATGGCATACTGAACAAAAAAGCTGATACTTAGGCTGAAGTTGCTATGTATTACTTTAGGAGGCAATAAAAAAGGGAAAGCCTGATTTTCCAGGCCTCATGACTCCTCCTTGCAAAGCCAACTTCCAAGGCTGGGAGACATTCCCACTGATAGTTGAAGTCACCAAGGCTGCCACTGAAAGAAGCAGCAGAGCAAGGCCTGGAAAAGTGGCCTGTTTTCCAACAGGGATAGGTGGAGGCAGTTTCCCAGACACATTTGATCTGGAGCAGTGGTCTAAATGGTAGGAATGAAACAGGTTAGAATCATAGTATAAGAATTTATTTTCAGCTTTAAACTTCTTTCTGTCATGTATGCGACACATTTAGTTCATAGAAACTGAGGTGATCCAGGATTTTACATATTCCATTCCCTTGCATATTATCTTCCATTCCATTGTAGTGTTGAACTCAAAATTTTCCCAGCTGGATGATCAGAGAACTACAGTATTGTTTTCATCCATTATCTTTGCAATCTGCCATGTTTGTATCTATGTAAGATTTCTGCAAACACTTTCTCTTTGACATAGATTATTTTATAATTTATTTTACAAATAGGCTACCAATATAATAAAATGCATACAATCAAGCTTATATTGATGTAATTCTAGGAGGGCTGGGATGAACCCTAGTGGAATTGGTCCCACTACTATTTATGGGCTTCCTATTGTGCTTAGCTTGGTCATGCAAAGTGAACTGATCCAAGAGGAAGTCTACAAATGTTCACAGAATGAAGGTTGGCCAACCAGCCACCTTCTGCATCATGTGCAACAGTGCTAAGGCTTCTGCAGGTGGCCTGGAAGAGGGATGCTGGTTATGCAGTGTTCAGGTAGTGCTCCCTTCGTAACCCTGAGGAGGAGGGAAATTAGATAGCCAAAGATACTTTTTGCATGTGCTGGATCACTTCACAATAATGAACAGAGTTAGAAGTCTGGAGGACTTTGAAATCAGAGAACACCCTCCAAGATCAGAGGGATATTTAAGAACTTGGAAGTTTTTTTCTGATCTTTTGAGCCTTGAAATGCTGTCTAGGGACCATTCTGCACCCTTGAGGAGCTGTTTTGGATTTGTTTTGAGGTCTTTTTCATCATATTATATATAATTTAGGAATTGCTTGTATTTTAATTACAGCTGATCATATACTATTACACCTACACTAGTCCAAATTATCCTTATAATAAAGCAATAATGCCTTCAATTTGCTTCTTAGACAAAGAATACTGTTTTACATTTGGCCATGCCACGTTAGTCCTATACTGAATTTCTACCATCTGGAGGAGACCTGTCTCATTGGATGAGTTAGCTCATAGCTGTGCAGGAAAAGTTCTTAACTCAGGTACCTGTTCAAATAAATCTGCAGAATCTGCCTTCTTTGAATCTGCCATCAGTATCAAGAGAGAGAGAATGGATTGCTGAGGTAGGATGACAATCCCACCTTGGCTTCAGTGAATAGTGTCTTCTATTTTGCAGAGGAGATCCCTTTGCAGCAAATTTACAGGGGTAGTAGGAGACCAAAAAAAGAATGGTTTACAATTAAGAATCCAGTGGTCACTGGTGTGGGTTGGAAGATCTGGCATTGGACAGGAGTTTTGGTTGCCCCCATCACAGTCAAAACTTCACCTCTGGATTTCAGGCGAGCAACATCTGCAGAATCAGTGGAATAAGTGACTCCTGTATTGACCAGGGAAAGGGAGAGTCAGACCATGAAAGGGAGATAGGATTCAGGGATACCTGATGCCAGGCCTCCTTTTTGCTGTTACTGGGTCTGGAGGAATTGTCCCTTCGCCATCACCACTGGCTCGTGGGATCCTGCAGGTGAAATTCGGACAGAAGCCTGTGGGGTACTCGGCTGTGCATGCTGCCTCTTTTGCATTTTCTGCGAAATACCACATTTCCTCCTCCAATCTCCCTGGTTTCTTTCAAGAGAAACAATTTCTATTTCCCTCAATGGGTTGTTTTTGCCTGAGTTTGGAGCTGAGGGGGATGGGCCATTGTGGTACATTTCTAACTGCATTTCCCCTGGTCCATGCTCTGCCCCCTGCCCCCCCCCCTTTCCTTCCTTCCCCCATGAGCATTTCCCCAACACTGCAACACTGCAGGGACAATGACAACAGGCTCTGCCCTTGCCAGCCTCACACACACTCTCTCGTTTGGTTCTGCAACCGTGGTAAAAGTCCTGACACAAAAGTCAAAACTACCAAGGCTTTGGGGTTAGCACTGACAGAATCCATTCCCAAATGTCAGGAAAAGGCAGCCACAAGTCTGTTTTGGTAATCGCCAGTCCTCTGGATGGGTGCTTGCCATTTTTCCCAGCTGACCGCCTGAGGAAGGGATTCACTCACAGCATTGTGGTGCTTTCAGAGGGTCTATAGCTGCATGTTTGTTAATGGTGCAGTACTTGGCCTTGCCTGGCCTGGCCATCAGGGTCCTTCCTGCAGTTTGTGATCATTGTGCTCCCTGCTGAGCTTGTTCTGGGATGTAGTGCACATCTGTAGGGCCTAAAAGACAGTCACCATGAATAGGCTCATGCACTGATATTATGAATAGGATACTATATTGATATTTATATTGATATTTTTCCTTTAACCATTTTGCACCATTTCTGAGTGTCTCCCCAGATATTAGGCAAATAATTTTTGAATGCCTTGATCTTGATCAGACTGAATGGGATATGTGCCCTTACAAGTGATAGTCCTCCTGTTGTCCCAGGATGAGCCCAGAGTGGATAAGTAGAGGCAATACAGGGCATTAGAGCATCCAGAATAAACCAGGGATAATGGGAAAATTCCTGGGGGCCAGGCCTCCCATTCTTTAGGTTTATTATAACTTGTCCTTTCCCCCACAACAGTCATATCACTGACTCATCATCCTGCATCTTATGTTCATTTATTTAACTTCTTTGCTGCTGCTATTAGTAGGAGCCGCCAACCAACTTTCCTGGGAAGTTAGTCCACAGCTATGGCAGAATCTGGAAAAGTTGACTCCAGAGAACTTTCAGCTGGGGTGGAAACATTTGTAAAGGTTTGGCTTTGGGAGAAGTAGGGCTCAGTGGGAAGTCAGATAGATGTAGTTCCAGGAGTTATTACAATTGCCTCTAAATGGAAATTACCAGAAACCCTACCAATTGAAGAATGGAAAAATAAGTTGGCAGACTAGACAGTGATGGCAAAATTAACTAATTATGTAAACAGAAGACTGGTTGGAGAATTTAATGACAAATTCTATTACATCCTGTACAATTAATAGGCTGTAAAAGGGAGCTTTTTAAAAAGAAGTTGAAAATTTATAATTGTTTTAAAGCAATTGGAAAATGTGTTGGTATACAGAATAATCCCTTGTTTTGACTGAATGACAGAAAGATATTTTCGCTCTCTTTGTGGGCTCTAGTGTATTGGTTATACTTGTTTAAAATCCCTTGGCAATTTTATTTTATTTCACACACACAGAGAGACATCTTTCTGTATTCCATTTATGTTTAAAATAATAAAAATAATACAAAAAAGAGGTAGTTCCAGGAGTTGAATAAATCTTCTATAGGAGAGTTAGTAAAAGGGGAGTAGGCAGAGGAACTGAGTTGTACATGGGAGTGCTGGGGAGAGAGTTTCTTCTGTTACTTTAACTGTTTCAACTAGAGAGCTTACTTGCTTCTCAACCTTTGTTTTTAGTCATTTGCTAAAATTTTTCCAAATTTGAAACTAGTTTCCTTCCCCACATTATCCCAAATGGACCAGTACTCCATTTGTCAAGGATGTGAACTAGCCAGAAATCACTTCAGCTTTTAGCAGTCAAATGAACTCTCTAGGTGCCATTGAAGATCAGCTTGCTCATGTGTGTACCCTGGCCACACAGACAGGCACAAAAAGATCAGTGCTTTTACAGACATATTCTTTATGGCTGTACTATCTCACTGTTCTTTTTAAGTAGTGAGCTGGGAGGTATTCCTTTTGAGACTGACCCTTCCATTTCCTGTCTGCTGAAAAAACTGCAAAAACCAGAATCCTTCTGAAAGAACTTACTGAACTCAATTCGCCTGGGAGCATCCACTAAGCTGTACAAAAGGAAGCCTGTGCAAGAGGATAAAAGTGCTCTTGCCTTTCAGTTTGTGGCTGCTGGCTTCCCGATTTCACAGCTGATGGATGTCCAGACGAACCAGTGATCCTGCTCCCAGCACCAACAGTTAAAACTCAGAAAAAGCAGGTACAGTCAAAACAAATGACAGTTTATTTGGACATACAGGATGCATGCATGCATGCTGGTAGCCAGTAACTACAAAGAATTTAACTTTACATGGACACTTTTCTAACGTTTCATTCATGTAGGTAGCTGTGGGAGGCACATAACAGTTGAAACTTGAATTGCATAGGAAAAACACAGAAGAGAAAAAGGAGAAAGCTATTCAGGGCAGTCAGTCATCAGTGTAAGGAAACCAGACTGGCAACATTGTTTCCTGAAACAAAGGATCAGTGAGGAAACTGGTTTGGCAACATGCTTTCCTGAAAGGATGTGCCAATAAGGCAACCCGACTTGCAACATGATTGCAAGATTGAGATGCTGAGCTTGTCAGTTCCAAGTGTCCCTCAGTAACCATGGCAGAGGATGGTTAGGTCAGCCCTGTCACTACCATCTGCCCACTGATGTGGTGCTTAGGGATAGGATTGCTCTGTTACTTGAGGACCATGCTATGGAAGCAGGGTGGTACATGATAAATACAGCTGCTTATCGTCACTAATAAGCTGTTACTATTAGTAAACATTTACCATCTGCTATACTGTTTTGCAGCTAACATCTTCCCAAAAGGTGAGACTGTACAAGCTCTACCTTATTTGCCTCTTTAACAATGTAACAATAACATATTCTTGTTCTTTGAATCAAAAACTCAGTGGATTTAAATGAGTCTTCAGGAGAATGTTTATCAGTGTTATACAACTGTTTTACTTAGTAATTTGATTTTTTCCAGTAATAATTCGCTGGATTTTTATGTGGGAATAAAAATGCAATTTAAAATAAAAATGATGTTACTGCTTAGAGTCTGATTGTAGTGTTCTGGTCTCACAGCAGATAAAACCGCTGGAAGAATGGCCAGGGCGATTTCCCTCTTTCCTTTTGCTGCTCTCCTTGCATGCCTCCTCCCAAGTTTAGAGGGTTAAAGGATCTTCCGGTGCTGTGTGGAAGGTGGTACAGTGGACTGTAGGTCAAAGGGGGACTATGGCAACAGTAGCTTCTCTTCTTCCGTTATGGACTGCTCCCACTAAATCATCATCTACTTCTGTGGACAGAAGAACTCTTACATTCCACCCATTGAGAGTTCATTGCATTCTATTAAACATATACATACTCAGGCCTGTTGTCAGAATAATCATGCATTTGCCAAGTCCACATGCTTGCTGGACTCAGTGTCTTGCCACCTCCCAGCCTCGTACTTGCCAGTGCTTGGTTTCTGGGCCATTAAGAGTGTGGCCGAGGCTGGGCTGGTGCCTGCAGCAGTACCATGGGGGAACTCAAGTGCTGGCAGGTGCTGCAAATGGCTGGGAGCTGGTTAGTGCTGGAGTGACAGCAAAAGTAAACTGCCCAAGGCCCCACAAAATCTGGAGTCAGACTTGCCTTATGCTCCTAGTAGTAATTTGAAAATCCCTTCTATAATGTTTATTGTATTTCTTAACTGTTTTCATGCTTTTCTTTCACACAACCATAGTAAGTGGAGTAGAACTGGTAATCTATATAGTTTCAAAGAAATCTTTTTCACAGGATGTGTAAGGCTTAGTCTTTTGTAATCGTGTGTGTGTGAATTTTTCTGTACTATCATTTCGGCAACTCTCCCCTGCCTATTTCAATCATTAAAATATATTTACTCTGCCTACTAACCAATGTATAATACAGTTAAAGTGCAATAAAATATAAGCACTACTAAGCACAAGTTTGTACAAAAGTTCACCTTCATCCTGTGTTCTTGAATTTCTTGGCCATATGTGACCACTGCTGCCCTTTCCTTTCCACAAATTAGAGATTATTTAATGATTCCAAAGAATGTTGTTGCTGTTACAGTGTTCTTACCAGGAAGTGATTAGTTCCAACTGTAGTTTATTGAAACAATCCGTTATTGACTTTTCCAGTAAGCAGTATTTGAATTAAATAACATAGGTTGAGTCACATGCTGTGGGTTTTCCCATTGCTGTTTTTTTCCACTGCACTTCCCTTGCTATCACTTCATGTGGTACTCTGGCACACTCTGTTGCCAGCTTTTCCTCTCTGGAGAGCCTCATCAGATGGAGAAAATGACCAGCAGTTTCATTGGAGAACTGGCCAGGCCTAAGTGTATGGCTTTGAGGGGGTCCATTTTCTGAGCCAGACTTTATAGGAAGTTTCCTAAGAAATTGCCTGTGCCGTGGCAATGGAGATCCATAAACCATTCAGAATTGTAAAGATATGCTGTGGTTCTTATTTTGTCCTTATGTTAAGTTTTAATGTTGAACAGTACAGATAGTAGTTTTGTTTGCATTTTTACCATATTGTACAGAATCAGCTATTTGTAGAATTTAAAGGTCTGTGGGCTATTAATAAACTTGGGGTTATATCCGATATCACACAAGTGGATGTCTACTTAAGGATCTACTCACACAGTAGCAGCTTCCCTTGCTCTCCCCCCTTTCACTGCCCAAAATCTACCTTGAAAGATCCTGCAATCTGCTTAAGTAGATTTGGTGAATATATAGAGTACTGTGGGGTGAAGGGGAAACCCATATTTCTGGTTGTTTGTATTGTGCCTTCTGGTCATGGAACTGCCAGTATGGATCCAGCCTGATATCTATAAAAGTTGCAATCAAGTTTAATTATCTTGCCCCATGTTACCTTCAAATTTTCATAGCTGAACTTATTTTCCAAATTTAATTGGCCATCATTTACAAAAAATGTTTATATTTGTCAATTGAAAATAGAAGTAAACTGTTTGCCTCCTTAAAAAGCAAAAGCCCAAACCCTTACTTTTGACATACAGCTAATGGGGAGTCATTATTTAAACATTTTAAACTTTTTCCACTGTTTAGTTTATAAAAACTTGGTGAGCAAGTTGAAAAGTACAGCAAAAGGTGAAAAACTCTTCATAGAAATGGATTTTCACTGGTTTAACTGAATTAAAAGGTATAATTATTTAGTATAGCATGTCCACATGAAGTTTGCAACACACCAGAGAGTTTTCCTGTCTTTGCTCAAATTAATCATAACAATGCAAGAGAATGATCATGTTCTTTATTTCAGTTGGACTTGTAAAATAGTGGAGAAAAGTATGTCCTAAATAAATTTCATATTATTCATTTTTTTCAGAGGACCACACTATACCACTAAGTTGTAGAGTCATCACTAGTGTAAGGCATCCCTGTTCACTTACATAGAAAGGGAAGTCCGACATGCATCTCTTTTTGCATGTAGTACCACCTTTCATCACAGAAGTGAATAGGAAATAAGTCCTGTGGGAAGGGGAGGAAATAAATATTTAAATGTTGGAAGCTATAGTTCAACATCTGGGGGGCAGCAGATTGGGCCAAGCTGATCTAGTCACTCTCTCTCACCTCTTCACTAGACAGCAGCAGATCCTTTTTTTCTGTAACTGACCATTTCGGATATGAAAATGGTGTATCCGAAAGTGTATCATGACTCACATCTGTAAAAAAGGTGGTTTTTTCTCTCTTTTTCCTTTAATAAGGAAAAAAGACATTGCAAGGACTGCAGCTGTAGAGCTGTTGGGCCCAGGGCTGCTTGGCCCTGAATTTCTGCCCTGGGATATATTGCTACCAATACCGCTGACTTAAATACACCTTTTGTGCCAGTCATGTTTTCATGTTAGCATTTTTGTGCAGATCTTTTGAGGGCTGCATTAGCAGAGTACTTCAAAACCTACAGAAAAACCTACAGTTCATTTTACAAAATAAAGAGTAACATCTCCAAGCATATCTAGAAGATTTTATACAATGAACTTTACACTGCAATAGAACTTACAGATTGTTGTTACAATATGGTGCATAACGGAAAAATTTACCCCCACAAGAGACCTCCAAAGCAATATTCATATTGCTGTATCAGATGCATCATATGGAATATGTTTCAGCAGAGAAGATCTTTAAACAATAAACGGCATTTCCATTGTAGTTGCTTTTCCCCCTACATCATAACCGATTTCAAATGGTGCTAGACAAAAACTGAGACTCTGAACACCAAGAGAAATCGGTCAGCCTGTGTAAGAGATGTTTTGTCAGTTTCACACTGGCTCTTAGGAGCACCTGCAGATCATTCAGTTTCAGTGCCGTAAAACTCTGGTCAGTGGCCACACTAAGCAATACATTCTGTTCCATTTTACCTTGAAGGCATGTGGAAGAAACCTGAACAGTGCATTATAGGCCTAACACTTATTTTAAATATACCTATAACAACCACAACAGAAGCCACAAGTGAAACCTGCATTTTCCACATAAGTATTTGAGCATGTGCTCATTCAATGCAAACACACAGATGCATTCTCCAAAACTGCCCAACTTCCACGTTTTAACAAAACATCTGTGGCTTTTTTGTGAAATCCAGCAACATATTTAGCTCTCAATAGTGGTGCATCCCACAGGTGTTGGGGGTGAAGAGGAAATTGACTATGTGGTAAGTCAACAGAGCACAATGTGAATCCATGCTAGGAAATGTTGCAGCACGATTGCCACTGAATGGCAGTCTCATCCAATCGCAAACAAAAGGGCCATCTCAGCCCAAAAGACCAAATAGGTCTATCAGAATTTGCCTGTCTAAAGACTGTCTGATAAGGTTCACTGCATCATCACCTGACTGGAAGAGGGAAGGCAAGAGTCCTCCTGCACCCCAGCCTTAGCAGTAATGTCTGTAGCTTAAATGGCTCCTGCCTGAAAAATAGTGAGATAACTGATTTAAAATATAGGTTCACAAATCTACACATATTTACTCATATGTATGTTCCACTTTTAGTACCATTTGCTAACTAAGTGTGGTTGGGATTGCAGCTGAGCAGAACAATCTTATTTGTGCAGAAAGCTCCACTGTCAAAGTGTATAGTTTTCAAAGAACCGTTGGCATAACTCTGGCAGCAAACAAGAAGGAGGAGAATGATTTAGGACTTCTCCTTCCCCAGTTCTGGAACTGCTTTGAATACTGTAGATCTAAAGCCCCTCCTGACATGGACAAAGACACCTCCTACTCTACCAGCTTTTCTCCTCCAGTGTTGGAGCACTGACAGCAGAAGGCTTCTTCAGGGACTATGGGGGATGTTCCAAGGTCAGATCTCAGCCCTTCAAAGTCAGATCTCACTTTTTGTTTTCTCTACTCTGACACACCCTCCCAGGGACCATATGCTCAAACCTTTCAAGCCATTTTAGAAACTTTGATTGACAAAGGCTGTAATAGTCATTGAATAGTAAGCATGGGGATGCCCTCTCATAGTAACTACATTTTTATTTGTCCAACACCACTTATTCAAGTGTTACAATAAGAATGTTCTAATCTCACATCTGCGTTATTTTTAATCTTACCAAACCAACACACACCCATACACAATAGAAGTAGGCTTATGCACATGTGGATGAAAATGGATGAAGAATAGAGTGTAACAAGTAATGTACATGTGGTTCTTCTCACTGATCCTCTTTCTGGATCTGTGTCTGAATCTCTTTGCAGAAAACAGGAATCACATCTATTAGTCCTGGAGTTGGGAAGGGACAGCATGGAGGGCAGTTATGGTGTCTATTCTTGGTCATAAAATATTTTTCTTGTACTTAAGGTACTATTTCAAACATCACTTGCATTTAATACTCTGAGAAACATCAAATGACTGTTACCATGTAGATCACAACTGTACTGTTGCTTCCAGTTCTTCTCTGTATCCAGTGCTGTAATTCTTGCTCCTAGAACACTGATTTCAAATGGTGCTAGATACAAAGATGGAAAAATCTAAGCCACCATGTGAAACCAGCTTCCAGAAGAAGACACAGAGACTTGATTTGGTTTGCACTATGTAGTATGAAAGTGCTGAAACTGAAGATAATTCAGAACATTATATAAGCATGACGATGGAACAGAAAGCCATTTAATAAAAACACACACCAAAACCTTGCCTCTCTTAATATGTAAACTTTACATAACCTTACTGCTTTGTCACCAGTCCTTATTATCTACTGAAACTAGGCCTAACAATGCAATTCTGCAGAAATCTATTAAAAATACGTAGGTTCCACAGAGCTTAACACAAAATGCATATAGGATTGTAGCCTGACAGAAATGAAACTGAACTTCATGTCTATTTTTTTCTATTTGGCAACCTGTCCATATATTTCTTCTATTGCCTCTGCTATTGTAAGCGTGAACTAGAGGCCTCTCTTCTGTACATCAGGTAAAATACTTTTGCCACTGTTTTCCAAGATTTGACCATTCTAAATCCTTCATTCTGCTAATACACATATTCAGGATCATTATTACTATTATAATTTATTGTTGTTACATTCTTTGTTTTCTTGATTACTTTTCTTGCTTAATTATTTCCTTTCTCTCATTTTGACTTTTTCCATTTTGCACTGATTCCCTTCTTAACTGGATTTAGTTTAAGGTAAGGAAGCCTTATGGCTAATGGGACAGGATAAAAAATAAATACAGAAGATTATTTGTTTTTAATTGTCTTCATGGATGTTGGTATCTGTCATCTCTGTATATGCCTTATCAGTCTCTTTATCCTCCAGATGCTAGTTTTCTTCTCAAACTTAATTTCTCATGCACTATTTCTCAGCTTGGTTCTTTTTATCTTACTGTTGCAAATGCCTCCCATCAATCCAGCTGGCTTCTTCTTTTTCTGTATTTAGGAGAGTATTTAAAACAAAAGCAGTTATTACTGAATAATAACTTTTTTATTCTTGCTTACCTTGCCTGACTCCTCCAGTCTGAGACTAAATATTTTAATTCCTTTTCCCTTTCGTGACATGTTTTATCAGGTAGGCTGTTTGGAAAATAGGTAAATGCCTATCAGTTTGTATGGAGGCTTATGAAATTCTCCTCATCTTTTTCTCCCCAGATTTTAAAGCTCAAAATTACCTGATCTGGCCATTAAGTTGTGCTGGCAATCTCCTGCTTTTGGTTTTTTTGCCACAATTTTCAGTTCATATTTCAGTTTGCCCTCCCTCATTAGTTAGCATAAGAACATATATGAATTGATCATAGTATCTTACAAAAACCCTTTCTGATGCTACTACATGTCCTAAATGGACACAGACGCCACCAAATGTAATTACTCCTAGAATGTGATTCAACATGAATAACTATTTATCTGGACTCGAGATCTAAAATCAAACTGCCATTCCTCTCAGGAAAGTTGGCTCCAAGAAACCTATTACTTCATTCTAGTATCCTTGACTTGGTTAAGAGTGCATTCATATGTTGAAGAATACCACCACAGATGAAGCTAAGAAAAAAAACCATCCTGGAACTCCTGCCAACATCCCATGGACAGGTCAGTGGTAGGACAGAGCATTCCCCCTGCTACTCTGTGTATGAGTTCACCTAGCTTTGCCATAAAACAATTTTTGGCCAGGTAATTACATTTAGGTTACCAGAGAAATACACACCTCTGTCAGGTCTGAAAAGCAGCACACTCAGTGAAGAGCAGTGACCATTAGAGGAACACCACTATCACATGTAGAGCCAGCATGTTATATCTTATGTAACACTTTCCCAAAGCTCTGTAGGATTCAGTGAGTATTCACTAGGTACCTGGAGTAGTTATGACTGGCTTGTCCAAAGAAGGGGCATGTTTCTTGAAAGCCTTCACTGTCTGAGCTACCCTGGCTGTTGCCATAGACACATCATCTAGCCCCTGTCCTTTATGCTTTCTAAGTACAAATCAGGCAATAGCCTTTCTTCATTGCCTTTTGTGCACAGACAGGATTAGATTATTTTTTCCTGGCATGTTCACACAGATTTTTTTGAGCAGCTCAATGGCAGGTAGATCAATGAAGTAGCTAACCTCAGTCAATCAGTGCATAATTATGAAGATCAGGCTACAGTTTGGTGGTCTGAAAGTGATTTCAGCAGCATCATGTTAGCTTATTTTATGATGCACTTGATTGTATAATTTTTTTTACAATGCATCTCAATTCAAGATATTCTTGTTAGTTTAGAACATCAGTTCTTTGATGGTTTTTATACATTCATTATCTCATAATATTTGTACAACACACACACGCAGTGTTAGAAAAGGGCCCATTGGGGTATGGACCTCTAATCTGAGCAGTTCTCTAGATCTTTAGAGCAGCTGTAACTGTCATCATTGTGTTTATACAATCCTTCCTTCTGAATTGGTAGCCTTACAGCTATTCGGAGACCCTAGGACTCATTCCCTTAGCTGACTAAGTGTAGCATGAAGCCAGAAGTATTTTAAACTAAAGGGGAGACTGTCAGCTTTCCTAGGCCCATCTACTGATTATTTTTATTAAGTCCAGAGGCCAAAAGTGCCTTACAGCACTCTGTCATCTAGCTTTCTTTGAGTGAGCTTGACTCAGCAGAGACCTGAGGAAAAAATTGCCATTGAATAACTGTACTTATGTCCTAGGCCACTGCAGGCACCAAGACCCTAACAAGAGGAAGAGCAGGCATATTGGCTGTTCCTATATCAAACAGAGTACCAGAGGCCTTCCTTGTCTGTTTCTTTCTCCAAGTTGTGCCAAACCCATTACCCTGGGTAAGAAGTAGTTTTGCTTGCAAAGGGGGTTTGAATAGGCAGCATTGTCTGAGTCTGGGGTAAGTTAATACATGAATGCATGCTTTACTAGGCTTGTTTGAGTCTGTCCTACAGCTCCTTGGCACATGCTTTTTTCATGGTTCACATGGCCAGATTCTGGTAGTTGCATAGTTCTCCTTTGCATTCTCCTTTGTACTAGAGAAAGGTGAACGGATCTGGAACAGGGGTTCTTGCTTTTCTGTTTTCAAAATTCACAATGCCTTGTGGCACCTTAAAGACTTACACATTTACTGGGTGGCATAACAAGTTTTCATGGGCATATATCCACTGTGTTATTTTGAATGATTCTGCCTTTCAGGTAACTAGAGAAAACTGCACTTGCTGAAATAAAGGTATAGGTCCCTGATAACCTTTTCAGGGACCCTGATAACTGCACCTGGTTCCCCTAGATTAGCTGGCTTTTTGCCTATATGTGTTACCTCTAATGTCTCCCTTGAATCTTAGCCTGAGGTTTTTTCCTGAAATAAAACGCTCATCTCATTAAATTCAGGAATGTCCTGAGGTGGTAGGGTCCTTTACACATATACGCGCACACTCCCCGCCTTAGAACCTGAGATGCCTCAGACAGCTGACAATTTATTAATTATTATTTTAGTTTCAGTGCCAGGGAAGGGGAGACTTGCTTGTGGGAATGTTTTGGCTTCAGAGACCAAAACGTTGATTGGCTTTTAGTAATTCTACCCACCTTGGTTGGACTTGTGGGAGTAAGGTAGTGTTTGTTGCTTTACCTCAGGAACGAAATATCTTGGGGCCAGCCTTAGACTTTATTTATTTAGTAGATTTATATCCCACTTTTTTCCAATGAGCTCAGAGTGGGTTTTATAATTCTTCTACTGTTCTTAATCTTATCCCCACAAGAACAACCCTGTGAGGTAGCTTGGGCTGAGAGTCTGTGACTGGCCCAAAGTCTACCCAGTTGGTTCCATGGCTAGGTGGGGACTAGAACCCAGATTTCCTGAGTCCCAGTCCTGCTCTTAACCACACTGGCTCTCTCATAGCTTGGACATGGCTACACAGGCCTGTGGAATGGGAGAAGGCAGCTTGATAGTGTGAAAATCTATGTGAAGTAGGAAAATATTGTGCAATCCTAATACATTTACTCAGAAGTAATTCTTACCCAGATCAATGGGATCTACTTCCCGGTAAGTGGACAAAGGACTGGGATGTTGCTCCTTCATAAATGCGTACAAAGCTGCAACTTGCCTTATGTACCACAAAGGAAGTTTAGCTATCGGGTTGTAGGGAAACCTGAGGATTGATAACTTTGGTAACATGTAAGAGCAACCAAAAGCAAAAGGAATCATGCTGGTCCATGAAAGATGAAAAATGAACAGTTGGGCAATACCCTCTATTAGGAAGTTTGGCTGTACCTAAGAAAGGTATTGACCTACACAATTTTGTGCTTTGAGAATTGCAATATGAGGTTACTAGAAATGTAATATTGCAATATTTGATGTAAATTTTCGGATTTACAGAATTTTACCCCAGAACAGTTAAAAAAAAGTATTACAGAATCCCAGAAATACCTAATAAAGTATCTGAAATAAAATGAGGAGCCTTCTTTGGGGTTTGCATTTGCCCCAGATCTTTTCAATGCCTAGCACCACCTTTGATGTCACCTAGTTCTGGGAAAAAGCAAGATAAAAAATGATGATTACTAAATTCTTTTACCACTTCCTCTTGATTTTTTTCCCTGAGCAGGGGAAGCATATTCCATTTCTCACATTCCACTGAATTGTTACATTTCTCCACCTGACATTTTAATGCCCCAAATTAAATATATTTAGGCTGCATACTCCAACTTAACTGCAGACATACTGTCTAGTGCTTTGTGAATGCCACTTACCTTTGTATTCTGCAAGTGTGGTCTTTAGTTTTATACTTACAGTTTCCAACTTATATTGGCGAAATATCTGTAATTAAGCCACATGAAGCCAGTAGTTCAAAACTGACATGGAATATGCAATATCTCTTCTCCTTTATTCATTTTCAGAGAGATTATTGATGGATTTCCTTTCAATATCCATAAGGTATAGCAGTAAATTGTAGCCATCCTATGAAACAAGAAGGAATAATAACCATTATGAATTTTTCTTAATTATGTGGTACTGTCAGAAAAATTTCATTTAACAGTTCAGTGTAAGCAAAGCAAAGGCCCTCTCTACCTGAAACAACAACCTAAATTTAGAACAGGGTGAGTGAGAAACAAGGAAAGGGGCAAGATGAATGTTAGCAAATGCAGTAACACATTCTTGGGTTTCAGTTCAGCTTTGGCTCTAAAGTTTACCAGATCATCTGCTTATACATCAGCTACTTTAAATTCCCGAAGTCTCAAAATGGAACAAGACACATTGCTAAAAAATAGTTTATTCACAAGAAAGTTGGATTTAGATACCCCAATCACAGTTCAAATCCTCACTCAGGTACAAAGCTTATCTTGAGTCACTCACTTTCTCTTAGCCTGACCTACATCAAAGAATGCCTGTGAAAATTAGTAAGGGAGAAAGGACTGGGGTGTCACTCTGAAGTCCTCAAGGAAGGGATAAAAATGTAATTCATAAAATAGGCCAGCTTTGTCCAGAGGCAGCTTTGAACATGACATTGAAGTAAATGGATGTCTTGCATCCACCATTTTTAGGTAACCTACAGATAACACTGTTTTTCAGATTTAGTATTTGTAATTTAATATTTCTTTATTTTTCAGATTTAAAAATAATTCTGTCCAATCTGAATAGACTTGAAGGTACTGTAATAAAGAAATTCCAAACTAACATGGCTATCAAAATTCTATATCACATTGAAATTGTATGTTATTCTCAGACGTTGAATTCTAATGTCTTAAAATTAAAACACATATAACCTATTGTCCCATTTAAACTAGATTTAAGCAGTCATATAGCCCTATATCTGGGAACTCTATCTTAGGAGATTTCCCAGATTTAGGCACGCAAGAATTTTAAGTTGTACAGTAGGTACAGAACCGCATTAAGTTCATACTTTGTATTACAGCAGGAGCCATCAGTATAAGGACATCCCACCACCTCCACCACACTACCAATAATAATGTGGTGTCCTGCCCTGGAGAGGGGTTGTTATCTTAACTACCTAGAGAACACAGGATAGGTTTGACTTGACTTCATGAGAGAAACAGAAATGTTTATTAGAAAATAAAATATGAAAAAGCAATACCCAGTGAAAACAAATATGAAAATGACTGATCTTCAAGATTAAAATCAAATTTAAAAATATCTGCCTTTTTAAAAGTCTCATGCCTTTGAATTCAGGGTTCAGGACTGACTCAGGGCTAGATTATTTTCACTTTCTTCACTTTGACGCAAGATGGAATATTTAATATGGCAGATCTTCAAATTAAGCACCAGAGAAGGTAGGCACATAGGAGTGCTCAGCTCAGAGGGATCTTGATCTCGCAAGCCTGGTGTCCTCTTCCTAGTAGCTGCCTTGAGAGGAGTAACCTTGGAATACACATTTAAATAATAAATTGATATTGTATCAAGATAAATTATAGAGTTTCAAAACTCTTGGCATCAAACCCTGTCTTTCCAAGTAGTGGGAATCTTTTACCTGGTTTCTTATCAGTACTGGAAATGATATAAAAGGCATTTAAAACAAGCATTTTTTTCAGACAGGTAGTTTTTTAAAGGAACCAAAAGATGTCTGTAGAAAACGTTCATTTTTCTGCTGTAAGCTAGGGTTGTTAACAAATGATTTCATTTATCTCTTAAGTAAGTGCGGCAAGATGCTGCCCCCGCTTTAAGGACATGCAAATTGTCAACATGACCTGGGCAGTGATGCCTCTTCTTGGACCTCTGCAACATATGCAAATCATTGTGCTGCCACATGAGATGTTTTGTAACAGCTAATCTGTGTGACTTTGCCCTCTAATTCAAAGAGGACCAGCTGAAGAGGTTATGACACAGGGAATGTACTCTCTGATCACTTGCTTGAGTCTGGAAGGCCACAAGCCATTGGCAAGAATGGCATGAGCTCTTTTCTAAGCAGCCCACACTGACCTCCTGCAGACATTCAGAGCATTAAAGCCATAGGAAACCCCTGTTCATCAGCCATGGAACAGAATTGGAGAAGTATCTGATATATCAGTTAGTGTTCATGCAATACAGACAAGCCTATCAAGTGTGTCTCATGATGAAGACACTAAGAAAAGGGGGCATCCAATAATTAGCAAAATCTTTGTGTCTCTAATTTCTTCAGTCAATAGCTCAAGAACTGCTCTGACTGTGTGAAAATGTGAGCACATTTTGAGTTCTATACTTGTCTGGAACCTTGGCTGGGAACCTTCTATAGCTGAAGAAGCTTCTCTCAAAAAGTCCCAGCATGGGTCTGCAGGGGAATCCCATCACTTCTTTCAATTCTCTTTTGACCACAACTGTGCACTTCATAGACTATCTTTTCCTTGTTTGTTTCTTCTGAGGGAACTTAGAACATAGAAGACAGAAAAGTGGGAAAACCCTCTACTTTATTTTTCCATTCTCTTGTTCTCCCCACCACCAAAGCACCTTTACTGTTTCTTCCATGAACTCTAATAACCTAGGGCATATGCCCCCAGGAGCCTCTTCCCAAGTGCACCTGCTGTGGCAGTAAACCTCCCCCAACAGGAAGCCGTTCCCCTGCCTCATTCCTTCAATGATACTCTTCCAGTTGTAATGCACTAAACATGTCATACAATGCTATGCACAGGCTCCTACCTATAGGCTCACTTGCATTCTTTCTTAATCATAGTGGGATAATTTACATTGAATCATTTATCTTTGCTTAAAGCAAAACAGTTCCCATTCAACAAGTACAAAATTTACAGGTGACCCAAAAAGAGATACTCCCTTCACAGAATTTTTAATGATTGCCTTCAATGTGCTGGATGTATAGCAATCTTACTGCTAAACCTAGTATTCCTGAAATGATAGACCAGGAGTGAGTTATAGGAACTTTGCTTACAGCTGCAAGGGGTGGGGGGTGGAATGTGGCTCCCCAAACTAGCAACCAAAGCAAGATTTCATTTGTGGGTGGTCTTTGTACTTGGTTGCCAATGGAAAATCTCCTATCTAAAAATCTCTAAGGAAGCAGCACAAATGGTAATGAAAATGATATAATTTTAGTTTAACTGGAGAATTTTTCCCAACAAATATTATTGGAACTATGGAAGTAGTGAATGCTGAAGACATGAACTGCCTTTATAGTTTCCTTACTGTAGCTAATCTATTATAGTTCTCACACTGCAGAGTGCAATTTGAGGATTTCCGAGAATGAAGTTCATCACCCATTTTAGAAGCAACATTGCACGATTAAATCTTTCTGTTCTTCCTAATCTCATCTCTCTGATTTTCCAGAAGTGGCTACAATTAGAGATAGCATGTCAGGTAGCACAGAAAATCTAAATGCATGGATGGGGGAGTCTCTATTGGTCTTACTTTCACACTTAGAAGCTGGGAAATCACAATATTATGATGTGATTAAATACAAGTATGGTACTTGAAGAGGTTTTTTTTCTTTTAAAATGTTACTGCATCTTTCTACAACATGCTTTCTAGAGGAGATGCTCAAGAACAGGAATAGGCTTCCGCATTGGATGTGACAGTGAGTTGTTTTAGGGTAGGTCTATACCAGGGGTTGGCAACCTTTAACACTCAAAAGAGCCATTTGGACCCGTTTCCCACACAAAAGAAAACATCGGGAGCCGCAAAACCCTTTTGACATCTAAAATGAAGATAACACTGCATATATCATTTTTTACCTTAATGCTATGTATATCTTATGATTTAGCTGCAGCTCTTGTTCAGTCACTAAAAACTGTTATTTTTAATCTTACATTATAAACTAGTAGGACTCCTTTCATATATTTTGAATAGGAGAACAGCTTCCTGAAGAGTCAAAGTCAGTGCTAAAGGGCTGCATGCATTAAACAGCAAATCCCATAAGTTCGTCAGCAGTAAAAGCAAATGAATCTACCCACGTATCATTAAATGTTTGGTTTTCTTCAGAAACTTTTCTTTTCTTTGATTTATCCATGGTTGGTCTGCAGGGGGAAGTCGCAGATATAGGTGTGTTTAGTGACTGATTAGCAGATAAACTGTCAAATGATGTGAATTGTGACAGGTCCCAAGCACAGCTTTTATCATTCAGAGGAAGATTACATTTGGACAAAGAGAATCTTTTCAGCAGTGGTTCATGTAACATGAGAGCTTGCAGGAAGCTTGTTCCACTCTTTCCCTGCAATGTCACAATTTACTTGACCTGCTAGCACAGCGTTCCTGAGTGGATGCCTCATCATCTCCTATTGGTATTTTGTAACTTGGAGCCTCGGTCGCAGATTGGTGGCTGTGCCGGTGCGTGTTTTGGGCTCTGGAGCCACAGCAGAGGGATTCAAGAGCCACCTGCAGCTCCGGAGCCACGGTTGCCGACCCCTGGTCTATACCATGTGCTTTGCCCAAGATATGTCCCCAAACACACTTCAAATAGCTAATGCAATCTTTAGGTTAACCCAAGCAAAGTTCCTTATTAAGCTCTATTAAAATAATAATAATAATCTTATTAAACCCTTATTAAGTTCAGATGTATAAAACTTTTCTACTGCTTCTTTGAAATGCATGTATTAAAAATGCATTATTCCCTATTTGTCAAAGCTACTTGTATGTAAATTAATTCATGAACATCTTAACAGTGTGCCTCTTCAAACAGCTTTGCCTATATTAATTTACTCACTGGAAGGCATAACTGCACTTCCTACAAAGATTGCCTTGGTACATGCCTTTGTATTATACTTGTCTTTCTTTTTTCTTGTGCTTGTACAGACAATGATCAAATTAGAGTACAGAGCCAATGAGCAACATTTTATTATTTATTTATTTATTTATTTATTTATTTATTTTCTATACTTGCCCCACAGCAGCTTTCTGAGCCCTGTTGCCAGAGCCAAAGATTTTGTAAATGCAAAACATTAAGTTATTGACGTGCAGCCTCTTGAAAAATGAAACAAAACAAACTGCACAGAGGGGCTCTGGTGCAGGCATACTTGTCAGCTGTTTTATCTACTGTGTGGACAAACAGAGCACTTTGCTTATATTTGACTGACCAGGTTGGATCTGCTAACTGGTGCATGTCAGAATTCAATACACTGAAGCCTCAAATTTTATTTCGGTGTTAAACACCTGTATGACCAAATAACTTCTCTAGTGAAACTCTTCATAAGAAACAGAAAAGCCTTCTGATGGCAATATTGTATCCTGACTTAATAAAATCCATACCTTAATTATCCTAAAACTATATCCATACCTGTTTCTACTCAGGCTGACTTGTAAGTATTTTTCCTTATTCCCTTCTGTAGTGTACAGCATTCTTATACTCTGTGTGCCACCTGATTCTATGCCTGCTTACTTGGAAATAAGTCCCACTGTATTCAGTGGATATTATTCACAGGTTGTGTATATGTTTGCGATATTAATAATTTAAAGTAGCATTAATTCTATTTTTTGACCTATGTACATGCTGTGGCATGTTACATTTTTGTCCTTCCTCTCCTATTGCATTTGGCATGGTATTCTCTGGATCATTATTCCCATATGTGTTGGAGTTTTCTTCTTTGGTGTAGATGGTTCTATAGCACAAAAATTGGCAACCAGCAACTCTTAGCCTAGTTTCAAAGGCAAGTGATCAATACATGCATCTGACAAGTGTGATCTGTCCTGCCAGCAGCAGCAAGGAAGAAGATGGTCAAGAAAAGGGGGTAACTATAAAAGTCAGAATGCTCTGGACCAAGAAAAGGGGGCAACTATAGAAGTCAGAGAGAATGCTCTAGACCATGCACATTATTGGCTTGGGCTGGTCCCACTGCATACCAGCTCCTAACAGATTACCCTTGAGGGACAATGGCTGTCTACAGAAAAAAAGCTCTTCCACTCCTGCTGTGGAGGACTGAATGACACCAATATTGATTTAAGAAATGCATCCAGGTGCCATTACAAAGTGGCTCATTTATACCTTTAAAAAAGTCAATTTGCCATGTATAACTCAGCTCTGCACTCTTTGGACATCTAAAATTTACCCAAAGACACACACCCTCCTGAAGAAAAGATGAACCATTCAGGTTAGAATAATTAAGAATAGTCATTCTTTTCTAAAAATTCCCCACTCTGTTCTGAAAAAGACACAGCGGTTATTAAGAAGTGAATGATTCATGCATTACAGATTACAAGAAATATTACTCAAAGGAATCTGCATCAACAGGAATCCATTTTGTTTCCCGTAGGAAAGTCTTCCAAACTCTGCTCAGCCAGTGGAGAGAAATATATTCAATTGTTGTGCTGGCTGAAACTCCCAAACTCAGCTAGAAATTTTCACATATGCCTGCAATAATACCTAAACCAACTGGCCATCATTTAAAGCCTTTCCTTGGCAAAATGGTTCACATCAGACAGTGTGAGAACAAACAGGGTGTGATTCTAGTCCATGTGCAGCCATTTCAGCAAAGTAATATGCTTGTACTGTGTTAACTATATATGTTCTAAGATTGTATTTAGAGAGGTTGCCTCCGGGTGCCCTTACATTCTGAGGTGCAATGAATGGCTACTTGTGACTGGACCCTTCTCAATGTCACCATGCTGCCATTATGCAATATATCTCCTTCTCAGAAGGTCACTTGGTGTCCGTTCTAATGTCTTTTTGGAACAAGAAATGCTTTTTCTTTATTTTTTCATACTTATAAAATTATTGCAAATCATGTCTGGTTGTTATCTCAAAAGAGTTTTTAATCTCTATGCAGCGCTTTAGATTAGTGGTTGCCAAACTTTTATGGGCTGCTGCCCCCTTTCTTCTTGGATGACAACTCTAGCACCCCATATCTCTTTGTTTGTATTAGGTCTGTTGCACTACTGCAAATTTAAAACACCAATCACTACCCCCCTGGATCTTTCCATCGTCCCCAGGCGGGTGGTACCACCCACTTTGGGAACCATTGCTTTAGATCATTTAGTTATGTTGACGGATGTTATGTTTTCAGCTTCTGCTGGCTATTTTTGTGCTGATTTTTATGTTTATATGTGGATTTTACTGGATTTTATATCTTTTTAATTTGTATTTATGTATGTTGCTCCTATAATGATTTGTTGTAGGACAAGTAACTAACTGAATGAGTACATGGTTGCAGTAAATGGCACTGCTAGTCCATAGCTTCATATTTGTATTGTTAGGCCACATTCCTAACAAGCTTGCAGAAAAGGAGAAAATCAAGCAATGATCTGCTCCACTTACTGAGAAAATTAACATCTTATACAACCATTTTAAAGCTTCATTTTCTTGACTGAAACTGATCAGCAGTCTTAGAACACCTTTTAGACACATACACCAACATTTCAGTTGTACCTGAGACATCAGGATTTGAGTTAGAACTGATTTTCTGTTATGTGAATTAGAAATCAAAACACTTTGCTCTCTGCAGTGGTGAACACATGATGCACATAAGAGGGCTAACTATCAAAGAATTAATTAATGCATATGGAAACTTGTACTATCTTTTCCTAGTTGAATTGGCAGAGCTTTATTAGTTAATAAAGAAAAGAGGATGATGGGAGAGATTGACTCTTACCTGAGAACTACACTACTTATTTCAATTGTACAGGAGGAAGCCATGGGTTCCCAGTATGCAGTGATACCTGCATGTTTGCATGCATGCTCCTCTCCATGCATCCCTGAAGTACAAGAACAGAGACTACAGTTATGCATGGAGCACTTCCTTGTTGAATTCAGATGATAAATGCTTATGAAAATGGAGCTACAAAGCAGGCTCCCTTAGAAAGAAGCCAGCATTAGCATGTCTGGGGGAACACCAATGTTTGCAAAGGTACAAGTAAGAATAAGAATAAAGCTTTAAATGCAAAGCAATGAGCAACACCTTAAAGACAATATCTGCTTTAGTATGTTCAATAGTTATATGATATTCAGTATCAGATGGAAAAGTAAAACAGGAAAGGGCAGATAACTGGAATTATCTGGCTGATCATCCTGTATCTTAAACAGTATTGGAGGGAAGCCTGCCTGGTTGGCAGAAACATCGAACAGGAGGGGCATTATCATTTCTTGCCATTTCATTGTAGATCTCACTTGTTAATTTCTTAAACACATTCTATGATTAGATTCCACCAAGCTTTGTTTGAAATTGAAACACCTAAATCATGTCTTGCATTGCTCTTTTTTGGGTGGGTGGTTTTCAACCCACCTGAACACCATGTCTCAAAAGCATTCAACCTCGCCTTCCCTACGTCGTCCTTCTAGGAGCACAGCTCCCATGGTTACCCCGTTGCCTTAATGCCAGAAGCAAACAAAAGAAAACCAAGAACAAAACAAAAACCTGTAGAAAAGCAACCACTTCAGCAATACACCATAAAAAGCACAGTACAACACTGAGCTGGCAATTCTTTCAGCTCCCTCTTGTGGCTTTCTGGCAAGTCCGCTTCATCTCGTTTAAGTTCTCTAATATGCTCCCACACATTCATACAACCCTGGTATCCAATCCATATCCATCCACTTATCTTGGAGCCAAGGCATCACTGCTGCTGCACAGCTATATAAATAGCTGGAGAGAGATGCGAATGTAAACACATGGCAACCCAACATTAGAAACCAGCTTAGCTTCACAGAGGAAACTCCAACTGATTCAGGCTACTTTACCACAGTGGTGGGCATTTCTTTTGGACACTGTAAGCTAATTATCTACTCATATTCCAGGACTGTTCACCTATTGTGATTCTCTGCAGATTTCGACCACCTTTAATTCCTGAGAAAATCCAGCAATGGCACAAACATCCTTAATAAAGCTCAGCCTGCTCTGTTCTACAGTAGTGCATCAATGTGTTTCAACCTGGTCTTTGCCTGCCAAGAAAGATTTCCATATTAGGCAATAGCCCTATATATTACTGGCTTTGTTCTGGCAAAATTATAAATTTTGATTTAGTTTTATGAGAACAACTTGCAAGCTCCCCCTGTCCCAGACACACCTCTGGCATTGCTGTGGGAAGAGAATGTTAGCTTCTGCTCCTATTTTTGATTATTCACAGTTTAACAGTAAGACTCTTGTGCATATCCTCAAATTGCACAAGCTAAGCTGAAAAGAATCCTTAATTGCTGTACAAGCAGCTGCTGAAAGTAAAACCTTGGACTTGGTTAATACGGAGCATAAGCTGAAACATGCAAGTGATATGATCTGCAAAGTGCCTCACAAATTGTCCATACTAGGCTACAACTGCAACTTTGGTCTCCTGGGGAGCCTAACATAAAAGACCATCACTCAGAAAAACTCACCTAGCTGAGTCAAAATGGATGTAATGGCAACAGAGAAGTAAGGTTTCTTCTTCAGGAGCACCACAGAGTAGCTGCCAAAATCAATCAGTTGAATTTAGCATGAGTATCCTTCCATCATTGCTGTAGTTGTCCCTGCACCTGTTTCATTGCCAAGAAGTCCTCAGAAAATCATGAGGACTTTTATTTATTTAAAACATTTATATACCATATAAATTTTCAATGAAATCTCAAGATGATTTACAAAAAACAGTAACACAACAGGACTTCAATAAAAGAGCAGTATACAATATATAAAGTATATGATAAAACCATTCAAATTGTTAAAATCCTATAAAGTTGGTGCCATGTGCACTTCTGGGGAACAAATTTCACAGTCGGGGTGCTAGTACTGAGAAGGTCCTTATCCTGGAGGCCGCCCTACTAGCCTCTTTCAAAGAGGGCTCCGAGAGAAGGACCTCCAGCAATGATATTCGGGTCCAGTCAGGTGTATATGGAAGGTGATTCCTCAGATATTCAGGCCCTAATCTGTTTAGGGCTTTAAATGTCAGTGTTAACACCTTAAATTGGGCCCAGACGTCAATCAGTAGCTAGTGGAGATGATACAGGACTGGTGTTATATGGTCTCCAGCCTGGCCAACAGCCTAGCTGCTCTATTCTGTACCTATTGTAATATCTGGACCATTTTCAAGGGCAGCCCTACATACAGCATGTTACAGTAGTCCAAATGCGGGGGTTACCAGAGCATGGATTACTGTTGCTAGGCTCTGTCTTATCCAGGTAAGGATATAGTTGATGGACTAGCCAGGGCTGATGGAAGGTGTTCCTTGCCACAGCAGCCAGCTGGGATCCCAAGGATAATTCTGGGTCAAGAATTTCTCTCAAACTACACACCCTGTCCCTTAGGAGGAGTGCAACCCCATACAGAACAGGGTGGACTCACCAAGACAGATGACCCAACTACCAGTAGCACTTCCAACTTGGATTGAATTTAAATGTATTGACCTTCATCCAGTCCATCAATCTACCAGACACCGGTTCAGAACTGTCACTGCCTCACCTGGATTAGATAAAAAAAAGAAGTAGAGCTGAGCCCAAAGCTCAGAATAACCTCTCCCAGTGGTTTCATGTAGATGTTAAACAGCATGGGGTATAAAATGGAATCCCGTGGTACCCTATGGCATAATTGCCATGACACAGAGGTATAATCCCCCAGCACCACCTTCTGGAATCAGCTAGCCAAGTAGGGGGCAGAATGACTGCAAAGCAGTAACTCTTACTCCCAACTTGGGAAGCCTATTTGGAAGGATACTGTGGTTGATGGTATTGAAAGCCACTGAAAGGTCCAGGAGAACTAACACGGATGCATTTGCCGTCACTCTCCTGGCAAAGGTCATCCCATAGGATGGCCAAGGCAGTTCCCATTCTTAAACTAGGCCTGAAGCCAGAATGAAATGGATCCAGATCAGTTTCCTCCAAGAGTGCCTGGAGTTGTCCAGCCACCACCCACTTAGCACCTTGTCCAGGAAAGGGATGTTGACCACTGGTCTATAGCTGGTGACATCATCTGAGTCCAGGTCACCTTCTTTAGGAAAGACATGATCACTGTCTCCTTCAAGGGGCAGGGATCAGCCCCGTTTTTAGAGAGACGTTCACAACCTCCTGGATCTGGGTATGCATCCCTTCATTGGCTTTGATGATCAGCCATGAAGAGTATACAGGTGGTAAGTCAAACTTGTCCAAGAACTTTGTCCACGTCCTCAGGCTGCAAAAATTGAAATTCACCCAATAAAGATAGATTAGATGACAGCTCCAGTACTGGTACAGGACCAGTACCAACTGTGGAATCCAATTTGTAGTGAATCTGAGTAACTTTCCCTTCAGAGTGCTGTGCAAATTCATCACTTCAGGCTACCAAGGGTTCAACATGGTCTATCGTGGGTCTAGATTGCAGGAAGCCCTGAACCACTTGGAAGAGCTCCACCAAACAGCACTTGCAGGACATGATGTTGGCAGAGAAGAAATTCCTCTTTGCTGCTTTCAGTGCTACAGAGTAGGCTTGATAATGAGTCTTTACATGTGTTTGGTCAGAGTTTTCCTATACCTCATGATGTTCTAATTCTAGCTGTGTTCTAGCTGTCTCCCAATCTTCCTGCAGTTCACATGTATACCAAAGTGATGCATGAGCTTGCCCAACTGGAGAGGGCATTTATGAGCATTTGTGTCTACCACCCAGGTCATTTCTGCATTCCACAGACCTGCATTCAACAAAAGCACCAGCCCTATCAACTGGAGATTTCCCCAGGGCCCTCTGGAATTCATCTAGATCCATCAGACTCTGGGGCCAGGCAACAAGTCCCCCAACCTTACCAAGGGAGAAGGGGTCAAGAGTCTGAACCTCAAAAGCAAATTATCTGACCATGATGAAGATGTTGACATCAATCCTCTCACTTCCAGGTCACCATCTTCCTGTCCAGTCAAAATAACCAGGTCAAGAGTGTGACCTTTTTCATATTTTGGGCCAGTGACATGTTGAGACAGCCCCATGGTTGCCATGGCAATCATAAAGTTCTCAGCTGCCCCAGACAGAACAGTCTCAGCATGAAAGTTATGATCTCCCAGAACCACCATTCTTGGGGGACCCCAACATCAGGTTTGAGACTACCTCTGTCGGCTTGGGTAGGGAGTCCATTCAGCAGAAAGGTGGGCAGTAGTATATCAACAGAATCCCTAATCTGTCTCAGTCACCCAGCACAAGGTACGAACACTTCAGACTTGTCTTTGAATGGATAGGAAGTTTTATAGACTACCTGTATCCTTATAGATTATGGCCACTTCCCCTCCCCAACCCCTAAGGAAGGTGCTGCACTGAATACCCGGGTGGACACAGTTGTATAAGTGTGATGCCTTTCACTTCCCTCATTCAGGTCTCCCTAATACAAGTCAGGTCAGCTCACTCATCCACAATTAAATCATGGATGAGGGATACTTTATTCTGGACTGATGTGGCATTTAACAGCAGTACCACCAAGCCTGATAGTAGGTTGGTACAACTGCCAAACATAATCTAGTTGAGGGAAGAATCAGAAGAAGGAATTGGCAGTAAGACATCAGGCCCCTCTTCTTCGCAGGCATGGTAATTCCCAATGCCATACCTTCTCCTGCCCATTACCACACTAATAGGAGTGCCCCATTTCCTCCTAGGATCCCCCAGAAACATAATAAAAAGTACAATTAAAATAATAAAACAAGTGCTGTTGTATAAAAGGTACCTATGGAATACCCTCGCACCTTACAAAACGAAAGACCAAACCCTAACTGGCCCCAAATGACTCAAGCCCCAAACCAGTTTTCCCTCAGTACTAAGAGGACTAATCCCAACCCAGCTCCAGGACGAAACTGAGAGATGTAATTTCAACTCCGCTCCAAACCAAAGCCTAATCCTCGACTCAGCCGAACCCTAAGAAACCCCTCAAAAGAACCCATCTCCAAACCAGTCCCAAATGGGCTATACCCTTTGGCCAGCATCCTTCAGCTGCTGCCCAAGGCTGCTGTCCTTGGATGCCATTGGCAGACAAAGGCCCCAGCAAAGGAGGCTCTACCCTGCAAAACCAGGTGTTCCAGCTGCTCTCTGCTTCTTGGTGCTCCTCTCCCAGTCTCCCTGCCAAGCATTGCTCACTGCTGCCAAGCGATGACACAGCAGGGAAGCAATGGATACCTAGGGGGAGCGCTGAGGGGCACCTCCACTCTGCTCTGCTGCTTAGCTCCGCAGCTGAATGCAGGGTACTCAGGAGCGGTTGCATTATTGGCATGAATCCTTTCCTCATTCTGCAGATCAACCAAGGACAAAAAGCCATTTTTTAAAAATCTAGATTCATCAAGAATCCATCCGGATACGTAAGCCTTTGAGAAAACCATTTTATAGCTCTTCCATTCCTTCAGAGGTTAACAATCCCAGTGAATCTAACTCCTATCAGAGGATGATCTATCCAGGCGCTTTCAGTCTTTTATATCACCAAATCATCATCCATCTGCTTAGCAGCAAACAGCAAATCCAAACTGTGATCAGCTTAGTTTTGGGGCCAGATACTGAAACAGGACCACAAATGTCATGGCAACCAAGAGATCCTAAGATACACCAACCTTGGGGACTAAGGTTAGCCACTAAATGCCTTGGCATCAATAGACTGGGGACCTCCAAAGCCATGCTTGCCAGCTTATGTTTCAAGCTGGACACAGACTAAATTAGTCATTTCCTGAATCTTGTGGTCAGTTCACATGTCTCCTAGAAATACCATGGGCCGTATATAATTAGGCCATGATTCAGCCACTCTGATTCAAGTCTTGACTCATTCAAGAGTTTCCTGTGTTTTCTTGGGCAGGTTAACACAAATTCAGATATGTAACCCTTCCAATACTGAATGGCTATATCCCATGGGAACTGGTATGTTTGTGTGGAGGAGAGAAGGAGACAGCCCAAGTCACAAACATGGAAAAATAGTATAAAGCTGCTTCCATACACCCGTGTCCTGATGTGATGCTGACCCAAGCCCAGCAAGACCTAGGTAAAGGTGGTTTTGCCCACCATAGATTCTCCCCTCCAGGTGCTAAAGGACTGTTTTGCAAATAAATTTCAGGATGCAATCTTATGCACATTCTTCTGGTTGTAGGGTTGTCTGTATCTGTTGGTTTTGCTTTCTCTTGCATTATTTTCTAAAAAATATATTTTCCTCCTGCATATGAGAGCATGCAAGATTAATTTTTGATCAGAAAGTTTATAATTGTGAATTGTTGGAAAATGTTCTCACTAGAAGATGAAAACCTGACCCATCCATTGCAGCCAAATTCAATAGGTATGGTTATTTGTAGCATGCAGGGGAACATGATATACCTACCTACTACTTAGTTGAAAAGCTTGTCAAAAAAATTCTAATTCAGTACTAACTTGATCTAAAACACAGGGATTCATACCCACTCTTTTAAAAGGCAAATCACTCAAACTGAACCGTGTATGGACAAATCTGTCAGTTCCCACATTACTCAAGTTCTCTTTGTTCCAAATACTGAAAATGCATGTGTGTATTCCTGGCATTATTTATTCACAGAAACTTTTAAAGCATTCTATTAGTGTTTCCAAGGCATACTACTTTTAACAACTTATTTCAAAAGACTAGAGCAATCTAGAATAATAATAGGTAACATCCAGAATAGAAAGCCTCCAGAAGGAATAGAAGCAAATTGGAACCAAAGTGAATTAGAATGGAAGCCTTGACCTGCAACACAATGTACAAGTTAGTTTTCTGCTTTTGCTCAGGAAGAAGCTACTTGAACTCTTTAAAAAAAGGGTCACAGCTTTTTTCTTTAACAGGTCACTGGTAAGTAATTTGTAACCGAAACCAGTACCTCTCATGAGGCAAAGCTCCTAATCTGAGAGGACTTTATAAACCCCACACAACTGCTTTTTCAACACATCTAGATTCAAATAAATACTACTCAGTTTCAAATAAACTTCCACAGCAAAGATTGAAGATCAGAAAATAATTCAGTGTTCCCTCAACCAGAGCCTCTTTCCTGATTTCCCTTCCCTTGCTGGGCAATTTCATGCTTGCCATTTCATCCTGAACAGGACTGGCCTAATGTCACTTCATGAAACAAAGATGAAAAATAGGCTCATTCTGCATTTATCATTCTTGGGAATGTGTTGGTCCTTTTCAGAGGTCATGGCCAGAAAAATCATTGTGTTCATCATCTTAATTTTCCAGCACTAAAAAGATTTCTGCCATCTATTCCGCCTCGGGAACTTACACAGCAGAGTGAATCAGCAGCAGCCTCCAATTTCAGATCCATCCAGATGAGAATATATGATTGGTCAGAAGATGTGGTGAACCACCTAGACAGCTTCAGCTATTGGTCAGTATAAAAATGTAATAAATATAATAATAAAAGAGGTGGAAGAAAGGCACTAAGGAATGAACAAACTGAGACACAGCAGCTTGCTATTTCTCCCCCTCCATTTTATTTTGAGCATTAAAGCTTGTCTTTTTTAAAAGCTCAATAATATGGGACATACATGTGTTCATAAAATTGTAGCATAAACATGTAGTTCATAAAATTGGAGCAGATCTTAGAAGGTGCGTACATCTATATACTAAATATATATTCCAGCATAGCAATTATGGCAAAAACCGGTGGCACATGGTTAATTCTGAAATCCCATGAAATTTAGTAAGACTTGCTCTCAGTTAAGTGTGTTTAGGATTGCAGTCTGCAAAAAGTTAGAAAATATATCAACACCTTCTGTTTTAAGACAGAATTGCTTAGTTTTTATTCTGCCAACCCTATACGTAATGAAGGATATGTGCTAACTAAAGGGTACAGTTCTAGATTTTTAAATGTTCAGTTCACAAAATGTAACCCACATTGCACTAAGCCAGAATTTTAAAGCAACTCAGCATACTCTGAAAACAAGAAACAAAAACGACTCCAACTGACAAACAAAAACCAGACATGGCATGAGGAAAAGTACAGTCCCAATGGGCAAACATGTACAATAGTAATGGGAGAAGGCAGCTTGCTTACCTGTAACTGTTGTTCTTCGAGTGGTCATTTGTGCATTCACGCAGATGGGTTCTGTGCCTGTGTGGAGCCTTTTCCCAGGAAGATTCAGTTGCTAAGTGTGCTTTGGTGGGAACCTCACCCCAGTGTCCATATAAAAAGGAGAGGCTCCCACAATTTCCCTTCGTTCCAATGAGACTACCCAGTGGCCTTGGGACCAGCTGAGGATACTGACATCACATTTAGTGAAGCAGTACTATACCCACATTTGCAAGTGGTATCATAGAAGGGAAACATTCACAAAAAAGGACAAACCCAGCACAAATAGCTAAGTCACTCACGATACCCAGTGGGGTAGGTGGGTGTGAATGCACAGATGACCACTCAAAGAATTACTGTTACAGGTATGCAACTTGCCTTTCTTCTTTCTGGTCCCTGTGTATCACACAAATGGGCAACTGGCAAGCTTAATCATACGTGGTTGGTGGGTCAGTATCATCACTGGAGGATTGCTGAAAGAACTGCATTCCCAAATGCACAGTCAACCTACCACAAACACTGAGGCCATAATGATTGGTGAATGTGGATGGAGTCAACCAGGTCACTGCTTTATAGAAATCTGGTTGCAGGATGCCTACATGCAATACTGTCCAAGCCACCATTGCTCGATTTGTGTGCTTTAGATTGCTCCAGGAATTGCAGTCCTAAAAATTCATAGGCCAAATAGAATGCTCATATTACCCAACCTGAAAGTCTTTGTGGCAAGAGGGGCTGACCCTTTGCTCTGCCTCCATAACAAATAAAAAGTTTGGGCCATTGTAAGACTCAGTTCTGGAGTGGCAGAACACCAGTGCCCCTTGCAAATTCAGGGAATGAAGTGTTGACTCCATCAGATTGGACAGGGATGGAACAAAGACCAGTAAAACAATGTCTTGGTTTACATGAAAAGGGGATATCTTTGGTAGGAAAGAGGGATATGGAAACAGCACCATCTTGTCTTTGTGGAAGACAAGGTGTGAAGGGTCTTATCTGTAGGGCACAGAATTCACTGGAATGGCAAGCCAAAGAAATTGCTGCCAGGTACATCATCTTCCATGACAGCAGATGGAGCTCAACAACTGTGAGAGACTCAAATGGTCTCTTCAACAGGGCTTGGAGAAATATGGACAATCTCTAAGATGGTATTAGTGGATTCATAGGTGGGAGTATATTCTTTATTCATGTCAGGACATGCCAACTCACTGGGTGAGAGAAGATCGAGGAGCCCTGGGTCATGTCATAGGAGGAGGAGATGGCTGCTAGATGGATGATCCGTGCAAGCCTCACTGAAGCAGTATTGCCATGTATAAGAGGATCTGCTTTATATACAGCTCTTGGGGCAAAATCTTACGTTCTTGCAAAGACATTGAAAGTTTTGCCTTGTAAGACTTCCTGGCCACCAGCTTCAGGGCTGCTTCCAAGATGGAATCTAGACAGTTGTGAAGAAATGACAGATCATGCCCTAGGGATGGATCGTCCATGCAGTCAGGTGGAGGGTGTGGACACCTGGGTGAAGAATTCTCCCCTGACCCCATGAAACCAGGTCTGGTATCAGCAGGGGCCTGATGTCTTCTGAACATGTCGAGAAGGAGCTACAAATGAAGAAGTGACAGGTCACCAGGGAATGATTTTGATGTAGTTTGTGCCATCCTGCTGAACCTTTGCTAATGCTTGCATTACCAAGGGAAACAGAGGGAAGATGTAAAAAAAGATCCCCATTCAGCATAGCAGGAATGCATCTCCCAGAGAACCCCAAAAAGAGTGTCCAAAGATGCATACATTTAACAAATATGTATTAAAAGATGCACACTGTTGTGAATTACTCACACACACAGTTTAAAGGACGGGTGAAATATCTGTATACATAAAATGCATACAACCAATACATCTATTTTGCAAAATGTGCAAGAAATATATATATGAATTCTGATGTAGAATAGAATAAAGCTTGCAATCTGAATCAAAGATGAGACAGAATGAATTGCAATGTGGAAAACCTCAACAAGCTCAAGTTGTGCTGATTTCCACATTCCTTATTATCAGAGACCTCCACAATGGAAGGTATCATCCCTCTAAAGCTTTTAGTTTAACAGCCACACTTTTACAGCTACAATATTCAACACTTGTATACACACAGAGGCTTTACACTTTGAGTCATGCCTTGTTCTCAGCAGGTACTGCACAACTGAACCGGCAAGGCAAGGCCTTGAATATTCCTACCAGGCCTGTTCAATCTAATGGATCCACACTTCTTGCCAATTATAGGGACTGCTGTTGCACACATTGACTCCCTTTATTCTCTGAGACTTTAGCACACCACAATGGGTTCCAGTTCTCTGCTTTGGCAGGGTACAAAGAACTCAATTGAAATATGTTAAAAAGAGCCATGAGGATTGGAACCCTCTATATACTTACCAGGGGGTAATTGTCATTAAGCTCAATGGGACTTGCTTCTAAAAACACATTTGTACACAGCTTGCCTCCCAGCAACCTCATATTACATAGTTCTCTGCTCAGTCCCCAACATCCATGAGATCTATTACTGATAGCAAGTCTGCTTCTCACAACTGAAAAGAGGTAACCGAAACAGTTGAATTTAATTTTGGAAGCTTGGTATGAGTCTTTTCTGTGTATCTATTTCCTTTATTCTGTTGATGAGCCTTCTATGGCGGCGGCTGTTGCCTCCTCCTCCTCCTCTTCCACAGAGATACTTGTCGCTTATTATAGAAATAGCTACTAACAGTTACACCTAGCAACCATTTTCCTTGCATTAACTATTCTCTTTCAGGCTGCACATCTCTTTCAAGGCCAGTTTTCGCTGCTAGTTAGCTTTATCACACATTAGTTCACTTTGCTTTTTAAAGAGGCATATCTTTAAAAACTATCCAGTTACCACAGTTTTAGGGCACTAAAAACATGGTACACTACACTGAAACTGCATAAACCATTCTTACATAAAACATATGAATTCTGGGCTTGAAGTACTGGAATTTGAAAACAGAAGGGAATAAGCCCAGTTAATTATTAATAAAATAGCATGATTTAACTGGAGGCAGGCAGGCAAGGGAAGGAAAGGAAAGGGGTTGGGGCACAAAACATTTCAATTTTCCAGAGCAACCAATACAAATACTGCTTTTCAGTGTCACCTGAAAAAACGCCGATAGCATTGGCATTCGTTCAAGTGTAAGTAATGCTGCATCCTTGTTTACAACTGCATAAAACAGTTCTCAGCATGGTCAGTGGATATACATGAGAACAAGACTGTGGGATATCCCAAATTATTCCAGGATGAAGTCATCTTCTGTCGTAGTTATGGAGTTTTCATCTTCTTCCTCACCACTTCTTGTTTCTCTTAATAACTGACAGTAAGAGGCCTTATGTCACAATACGTTGCTGGTTTTCCCACCACCCTTCTGCCTTTGATCCTGTCTACCACTGTAGCCACTGAAATCTTCAAAATGGAACTTGGCCTGAGGCTGAAACACATTCAACACCTCTGATTTAAGCCATGTCAGTTCTGCACTCTTCTTTTCTTCCCTGGGGCATGCATTTTACAGCCCCTTCCAAACACATCCCACTGTCCCATTCACTCCTATAGACCCTGAGCTAACAGAAGACATCAAACTGCAGTTCTCCGTCTGCATAGATAACAGTACATCTTGACTTATAGATGTTGAGACTCAAACTCTGGCATGGGACTAAATTGAGACATTGCCCTAAAATAAATATACAACACAGCTATTTTCACTTATGTTGTTTTTAAACTTATTATAAATTTTAAAAAATCAAAGTTGTTTTTATCAATGACATGCTCAGCTGTCGCTGGGACATCAGAAGAGGGCTCACAAATGTAAATGAATTAATGCAGTCACAACACATTATGGTAGCTCATTTGTTCTTATTTTTGTTGCTGAATTAATTTATCTCCCAATTCTGAACAGCATTAAAAATTAAGACCACATCTTAGAAAGTCAGAAGCTTTACATGCACTCCTGTGCATTACCACACCAATTTTTGCTGGTGCCGTAGAAAAGATGAGATCTCTGCTGTCAAGAATTTTTTTCTCCAAACTCTGTGGCCTGTTTGGGCCTCCGATACAGGACTATCCATGAAGTGAGATATTGCTGGGAAACAGATTATCATTTATGGAAGAAATGGTGTATAATGTGATGACACTATGTAATCTGCAAGTGAACACTAAAACCCAGGATTATATGTCCCGTTACATATCTTTATTGGTTATATTATTGATTCTCTGATTCACCTTGAAAATCTCTCTCCCTGACTTCAAAGGGTCTAATTTCCTTGAAATATAAGAGGTCATTATCAGATGAAATGAGTGGAAATGTTATTTTCACAGATCTTGTGGTAAGAAATAGGATTGGACTTGTATAAAAGTTTGGTCATATTTGCTAGCTACTTGTAACAGAACTGGTGTGTGTGCCCGTGCGTGCATGCACATGCATGCGTTGTGTGTGTGAAGAGTAGCACATCTCCCATTGCTTCTTTACTCCCATTACACCATTTAAGGTAGCCTAAGGTGACAATCGGGAATGCCTAATACACTGTGGAGAACAGATACTTAGTGTGCTCAGTGTGGGTAAGGCTCTGAGGTAGCTCAACTTCACCTTTTTTGAAGCAGTAAAAAGAAGCATGAAAGCTTTTCCTTCCTTGCAAGAGCTAGTGAAGGCTATGATAGTATTTGGAGGAAAACCCAAAAGAAAGATTAAAGCTTCAGAATCAGTGCTCAGAAATGCAAATATGTTGTGACATCTAACCCCTTAAAACAGGAGCAGGCAGCATACTATCCGTGGGCATCAATACATCCTTTCTTAGCAACTACTAAAGTGCCCTAGCACTTACACTTTCTATTAAAAAACAAACAAGCAAGCAGCTAGCTACCCTGTCTTCTTTCCCCATGAATGCCTCTGGGCCACATGTGGGCTCAGAGGAAGATGGCAAGTTGGTGCAAGCTGGCTTTAGTTTTTCAGTGTGAAAAAACTATTCCTGTGCAACCCATGAGATTCAAGATTTTGAAGCAATTGTAGGTGAACATTTGGAAATACCAACTGCAAAGACTCTGTATATGTATCAAGAGGGAGATGCTCTGACACTCAAGACTGGAGAAAAGCGATGTGCCACCAAAATCAGAACCCCCTCTCACTGCTACCCTAAAATCCTAACTGCGTTAAAAGCTTACGCTAGTCTTCCAGACACAAAGACTGTGGCTACTTCAATTCAAGAACAGGCAGGCAGGCAGGCACACCGAAAGCTGTTCTTTACGTTGTGGCTAGAGCAGAAGCAAGAAATGACATGACATGGGGCTAGAGTTGTACAGCTCAGGCAGCATGTAGAAGGGGAGTAGCCATTTCCAGTGAAAAGGAGGCAGTGATACCACAAAATTATACATGCTCTCAACTTTTTCTTGCTGCAACCGTTCAGGATGCACTTTCTTACATCATCATCTACAATACAATTTAAAAGTGCATACATGTAGCATTGGAAACAAGTCTAAGACAAAGGCCAACACTAATTATCCAGGTTTACATGCAAAATGCTACTCTGCATAAACAAGGATTTGGACATACATTACCCTATGAGATTTCTTCTTCTTTCAGTAGCAAGCCACCATTCCATAACATGCCAACATGACTTTTTGAAAGTTGCTTCAGTTTCAAGAGCTAACACAACATAAGAACCAAGTCTCTTGGGGCATGCAGAACTAGTTATTTGGATCCTGGCCACTGTTGTTTTCAAAATTATAAATAAAACTGAATTGTTTATCTTTGAATGAATAGATATATTAAAAAACCTGGATTTGTGGAAGTCCTATAAACTATTCCATAGTGACATAATGATTAATAAGAAATTTTGGGCCCAATCCAGTGATCTAAAGCAGCAGCATTCATAGGGGAGGCACTCCCTGTGCCAAATGAATAATCTGCAGGACAGAATAAAGGGATACTTTACTCCCCGAGTTCCAACATGCCTTAAAACAAGGAGAAGAAAATCACTCCATGGATTCTGGAACAGGGCAAGAATTGCATATGTATGCAACTGCCCTAACTGGGCCAGAGTAATAAATGATACCATTGGGCCATCTATAAAGCACACAGATTATTTTACCTTTTCTTGAGACTAGAACAGACTTTAATTCCATCTATGAATAATTATTAGGAGTGGCTAATCCAACTCCCTGAACAAAAAAGCCTCCAAGAATTGAGCTTGTATTCTTCCAGTGATATGCGCAATTCAAGGTAACAACAACAAGGTCGACATTTTTCTTTCCATTCAATTCAGTGGTAGATCTGAAATAAGATAGAGTCAAATAAGAGGGCAATGATAGTTTGATAGGAATTTTTAAGCACCGAAAGTGCTGAAATGCTGTGACGCATTTCAATTAGAGATTTTCAGCAGCTAATGCTATGCAGGGTCTGTTTTTAACATTCAAGCTACAAAGACTGGAGAGACATCCTTGCTACCAACAGTTATAAAAGGGCAGCAATAGAGACAAGAGATCCAGTCTCTTAGTTTGCAAAGAGTATGAATAATATTCAGCAGCAGAAATTCGGGGGGGGGAGGGGACAAGAAAGTTTTCTCAATGCAAGAGTCTGCCTACTTCTTTGACAGAAGGGAACATAAACACAGGACCAAAAGCACAGCTGAGAAATAGGTGAGGAGAGATAGTTAGAGGATGGCACAAGCCATCAGCAGTGCTATAATACTAAGCGGACACCAAGAAAAGCACATCCAGCAAACAGAGTTGCCTAACTTCCAAGAACAGAGAGAGAAATGCAAACAGGATCGACATAAGCATGTTTTCTGTGAATGGGTGAAGGTTTCTAGTTGTAACTGTTCAAAATTTCAGTGTTCTGACAATGGGACATTATCTATTCCATAACTAGATTTTTTGTATGTTTTTCTAAATGGATCACTCAGTTTAATAAATAAAGCTGTTTGCTTCAAATACTATCCCAGAAAGCCTTGCATTCTTTGCTGTATCTCTATTTGATTTCTGTTAGTTCAAGTTATGAGCCTCCTAATAATAATTTCCTGTTATCTCCATGGGGTCCTATCCCACCATCTTAGCTTCAGTATTGTACAATCCAGATTAAGCTAGTGGTTGTAATGTGACTTAAGTAAATAATCTGGAAGAGAACACTGCAATTTAATATACTTGGGATGGAACCTCTGGTCTTTTGAGGGTGCGTATCCCATCTCTCTGGCAAGTAAACATGGAATGCTGCAGAAAAAAGCCTAAGGTGCGGCAGGATGCATATCAGGTAGATGATGGAGGTTAGTCTCATCAATTCCCCTATTAATTTACACTCATGCAGCTGCAGGATTTTTGTAAAACATGCATTTGATTCTGAGCATAATTTAAGGATTCCCATGCTTCTGAATTCATATTTAGGTTCAGCCTATAGCAGAAGGAAGGGCTAGTAGCAAAATAAAGATGTTGGTCCTGGGCTTATTCTCTGAACCACAAGTAAACTTAATCAGGGGCTCTGGATTACGCTAGTGATAGATGGTGATGCAGCAAAATGGCCACCCAAGCAGCTGCGTGGCAGAGTCCCTGGCTGACAAGCAGTTTTGTGAAAAAAAAAGCAGCTATCTTAGTAAAGATTTCTTGATTTATTATGTTGATAAACTTTGTTAAAGTCATTAAACCTACCCCATAAAGAAACACAATTCTCCATTGCCATCTTCCTCCTAGAAATACTTGCTCTTGATATGTGATACTTTAAAGATTCCATGTTCATTCCCATCTCTCAATACACCCATGACAGATTCCCAAGAGCTCTTCTCCTAATCCATTGTAGTAACAAATGGGAGGAAAATGGCAGCCAGAGGCCACACCCAAATCCTCATAAAAGATTACCAGGCACTGGTTTAAAAAAAACCCATGGAATGAAACTTTCCTCTAGCTTTTTTGTTTTAGTGCGCAGGGGGGCGGGCACACTCAAAAACTGGGGGGGGGGGGAATCAAGTCTTATAAGTGGAGGTTTTTAAAATGCCTATTAAAAATGAGATTAAAGTCTCAAGAAGACCGTTCTCTTCCCTGCATCAGCAAAGCTCCTATGAAAATTAACAGCCGTGCTAGAAGCTTGGAATAGACTCTGTCAGAACCAAAATGGCCAAGAGTGCCATTGCCTTCCTCAATATTCCTCTTTTAGCTGGGGTGAAAACTTTCACATGCTGATTACAAGCACTTTTGACACCTATTTTAAAGCACAGTTTTTAAATGTGCTTCTTCCTCCCCTAAACCCCTTGTTCGTATCTTCCACCTTCCCAAAGAAACAACATAGTCAAGACAGTTGCGTCACAACCAACCAGAAGCAAAAAAGCGCATTTAGAAATTGTGTCCCTCCTTTTGTTTAGACAGCACCAACAAAATAATAGAAATCATTACTGACTCATGGTACTTTCTTCTGTGTGGTCTCCCTGTACTTCTCAACATTCCACTGAGTAAGATCTTATCACACCCACTTTGCGGAAGAGAAAACAGAGGCAAGCAGAAAGAAACAAATCAGCCAAGGTCAAAAACCTGAGCAATATCTGGAGCCAGATCTTCCAACTTCCAGCCCAACCCTGTAAGCTTCAAAACCACCTTCAGACAAGCTCACCTGCCTCCGATGCCTATGTATTAAAAATTTCAGGCACACAAGCTGGGCAATCTTGCTTTTCTCATCATCCTGGAAAAAGGGTCCTGCCTCTCACTCCTCATAGCTTCCAGGTTCCATAGATTCAGATACTCACAAACGAGCAGTCACTGATTGAAGAAGAAAGTATTTAAAACCCTAATTCACATCCACAAAAAAACCCAAAACAAATATCTCAGAGCCTGGAAAGAAAATATATCTCCACACTCAGTTCTAAATATTCAGAAAGATACTTTTTCCATGGAACTGAGAAAGGAGAAGTTACGTTACAGCTATATCTCTAATGTAAGAATCCAGCTCACTCCACCAGTTTAATAAGGTACGCCATTACTGAGCACCAGGTGTCAAGATGACAATGTACAACCCCTAGTGGCCATATCCAGAGAAGAGAATAAATGTTTGGATGGCGTTGGTCAAAATGAATTTAACCCGGTGCTCTCTGAACCTACCCACCTGCATCATATCCTCCTTGTTGCTACCAGAAACAATCGCAGTCCAAGCATAAGGCTGTCCCTGCACTGGAGCAGCCATCATAGCTGTGCCTCCTATTGCCCTCCTCTGCGGAACTAACACTGCAGGATACAAGGCTGCCTCCGGAGGAGACAGCTCTGCAGAGCACGGGCTAACCGTGGGGGAGGAGTGGGAGAAAGTGATGCACCTATAATGAAAGAATCTCAAATTAGCCATAATATCGGACAACAGAGAAGAGCAAGGGGAAGCAAAGGTGTTTATCAGGCGATTTTATGGGACGGGTGTATTTGCTATGTCGAACTCCCCTCCTCCTTTCAGCCATCATGCCTATCTCCAGAAATGGCTTCCTGGTTATTATTCCTTCTCCCTTTGAGCTAGGAAATACGAATAGCAGATCATGCCTATTCACCTTTTTTGGGGCACTTAAAGCCTGTGGTAAATACACAATTTGTAACAGTAGAGAATACAAAGTACCCTAAAAGGAATCAAGATGGAGAATCAAAATGTATCTGATCGGGTTCCAAAGCCAACAAACTGCTGCCGAACAACTGGCTGTACTTGACTCTTGATACCCGTGAGTCACCCACATGAATTCTTATACCAACATATACCTTTCCATTCACTGGAGCATTTTATGAGAAAACGCTAGCTACTCTGGATTTCACTGTAGGTTCCAGAAAGAAGAGAGCATAGACACCCAGCCTCCATAGTAGAATCATTCTTCGGCATAGGCTTTGAGATGGGCCAGAATGAAAAACATGGTTCATGCAATACTTAAAGCAAGCATTTAGATTTTCACCCTGTATGACAGGTGCCCCACCGCCCCCTGCTTGATCTGGCTTATTCTTCTTGACTTTCCAAAAATCCTTCTCCAGCCATCTTAGAAATTCTCCATCGCTTCATTTAAAATCAAAACAAAAAGACAGAAAGGTAACTTCATATTCTTACCACTATTTTCTGTTTCCATTCAATCCAGTACCAGCACTGACTTTGAGTTTACACTGACATAAACTAGGACACATTTTACCTTTTAGTTCTGTCCAGATTTTTACATACTGTGACATGCAATCTCTCTGTCCCAAGAAGTTTACAATTCAAGTAATTGCTTTTCTAGTTAGTTTCTCCACTCACAGAGGTAGACACCCACCAAAGTCTCTTTTTGTTGTCTCTTCTGAAGCCTATAATAATGTCACGTCATCATGGCTTGTCTCACAGCAGCCGGAAACCCGCCTGTCACTGATGCAACACGAGTCACAGAATATTTGTTTTTCCTTCTGCGTCACTTGCACCAGTAATAAACTAAACTAATCCACAATAGCCAAGTTACTGCTTTCAGCTTTTTTCTTTAAATGACTAACCCTGAGAATATAAGACACATTCCAAAATGCCTGCTTTAAAGAAGAGGGGTGGCTGGAGAGGGGGGGGGAAGCAAACAGCCAATATTTTAAGACACAAACTGTTCAGAACCCCTTTTAAAGCAAGAGAAATGGAACATTTAGATTTGATAGCCTGTCCTCAACCAATCTGAGGCAGCTTTTCACCTGCCACTGCCTCTTCCTCCAATGAAAATGTATGTTTAGAATGAGAACCCTCCCCAGCCAATCATGTGCAGGCTCAGGCACTCAGTTAATGATGCAGCAGTACAGGGAAGACTATCACATGTGAGCTGGAAGACTGCCAACATGGAGACACGGAGAGCAAGGTAAACAACTTTCCAACGCCAAAATGATGACATTTAATTCCTAAAGGCTATCTTCCCTTCTCAACTCACCCCTTTAGTTGGCCTGGGGATTCACAGAGTACCTGTCCCCGCAATGCTTTTTAAACCTAACTATGTGCCAGGCAAGTATCACTGCGTCATCATTTGCCACTTTCTGAACTATGCAGGCTTCCAGATTTAAAAAAATCCAGAAGGTCTTATTAAACCCTCTACCAATTATCTGATGTGCCAGATTTTTAAGGTGGGCAAAGGGAAGGGGTCCTAGATGGCACCCTCTGCAAACTCCTGCTTTCTTTTCCCTCCCTCCCCGAATCTGCATTATAACTACGCAGTGACATTTTACAACCTGTGCCTTCATTCCATTGGTCTGACGCAGGACACAGCAATAATATCCAGCCACAGAACAACAACATTGGGTGGAAAGGTTGAGGGGTAGGGGGTAAAAAGAAACCCCACACATATGCACACAAAACGAGACAGTCAGCTCAACTCCCCCCTTACCCCGATCAAAGGATACATACGTATAGAAAAAGAGGAACCATGAGATCTGTTCATCTACACCTGTGCAGTCCTCAACCCTCTGCTTGCTCCACCGCAGAATAGAATATTCCAGAATTTTCCTCCCATTAACCCTTCCTATGTCTGCCCCCCCATGCGGGATTAACTGCGTTGTATCTTTCCGGTATTGTCAGTGGACAAAATCCGCCAGTACTAAACAAGCTCCCAAATAACACTCCTTTTTGAAAAAGATGCTGGATGGGAAAAGGAGCCATGCTTCCCAATGTTGTTATTACTTCTCTTTCATGATCTCTCTCTTTTTCTCTCTGTCTGTCTCTTGCTGCAGCAGGGCTGTTGCTAGTAGTCCTATCGACAGAGCTTGCTCTCCCTCACTCTCTCTCCCTCTGAGCTGTGTGACGCAGCTCAAAATTCTCCAGGCTGCTCCTTGTGTTTTAAAAGCAGAACTGCAGCTTTCCCCAGAGAGCCGATGCCAGCAGTACCAAGGCCGGACAAACCAAGAGAGTCACTCCCAGGCTAAGCACCCAAGTTATTTATATCTCCCTGTTCCCTCCTCACCTTGGTTTATTTGCTTCGGCTCCAAGCCTCTCTTTTCTCATGTTCGCATCATCAGCTTTCTTGTGGCTCTCTCACAGTTACACTTACTATGTTAACTCTTTTAGGGTTGGCAGTCAAAAAGTAATGTTCTCAAACAAGCACTGGAGGAAATAGAACAAACTTTTTGTGCCATTTTCTTGTTCCCATTTATATAAATAAACAAAAGTTGCTTTTCAGCCTTCAAGAAACAGAGCACATCCCACTGAGCCATGAATATTCTTTGAAAATTCTTTCAAAGGACAGAAAATGATTTCAGTCGTGAAAAGATAGCTGCTTTTCCAGATGACAGGCATACGGGAGCACACTTGTTCATTAGTTGCGTAATCTGTGAATGTCTGAGAACGTCAAGGCTTCACATTCTGCTTAAGCTTACTTCAGAAAATCACTCATGAAAAGGGAAGGATAAAAGTGTCTCTGTTTAGGGAGGAGGTAGAGTTTGATGCATGTGACTCTGCAGGTCTAGGTCAGCAGCAATGCTAGCATCCGGAAAGGATTTTTCTCCCCCCACAACAGCTAATGACTTCAGCGTGCTAGACCAGCCCGTGGTTTTCCCTCCAAAATGTTCCGGAAAGTTTGAATGGAGTTCTTCTGACAGTAGGCTGTGTGTTAACTCCTTCTGTGCCTTTGATAAATTCACCATGAGGTCAAAAGGTCTATCTCAGCTGTGGGAGGAAGCCATTAAGAACATTAAGTACAGTGATCAGTGCATGACAAAAGGATGCCTTTGGGGAGGAATTAGAATATGAAAGACTGCATATTTACCTTTGTAGAGACAGAGGATGATCACCTCTAAAAAGAAAGATGTCAGCTTTAAATTTGCACTGGAAGACTGACAGCACAATAGGTTCTTGAATAGTGCTGAAGTATCTAGCGATTTCAATCCCCCCCCTTTCTTTACAGAGCTATTTTAACATACTTCATTGGCTAAAAGTGGCATCTGCTGTGTGCCGATGCATACAAGAACAATTGCAAATTTCTAAATGCTAAATGCTGTGCAGAGAGATACAGAGCTCAAAATGCAGGGGACAGCAAAGCAAAGGAGAAATGCAGGACCAAGATACAGTAGGAGGCACATCCAAGGCTCTAAGAATGGCTAGTTGAAGTTCTCTGATGCCTTTGATTAAGCAGCATTGCTTCCTATCTTTTCCTTTTGAATGCATTTATTTTGTTGTTTCAGCATATGTTAACTCAAATTCAGATTAAGTGAGCTCTGCCACTGGGCAATGGAATATCTCTCTGGACAAGGAGATGGGGACTTCTATTTGAGTGTCTAGGAATTTGTTCTACTAAGAAAAGCTTTTGTTGTTTTAAGATGACTTCAAATGTGACCATAAGCCAGCACAACAGCAGTTAAGTGGATAAAACAAAAAAGAAATCTTGCAGTGAAGAAACTAACCTTAGCTGTGCTGCTAGAAAAACCAGTGCGAAATTTATAAATTTGAATTCCTGATCTTGTGACAAATTTCTGAAGTTTCCATGCTTATTCCAGAAAGAACAGCTTTTCCCAATAACCAGAGCTGCAAGAACTTCCCGGACCTTCCATCTGAGGAGGCTTGAAGCACATCAGAAGATTCTTCACAAAAAACCCGCCTGCCTTGTCTTCACGTCTTACAAGCACAAATCGTTCCCACAATTGAACTGTACAAACATATAACTAAAAACGTTACCTTTAAGGTACACATTATAGAGAAAAAACCTGTTAGTGTTTCCCTGAGCTGTAATACGGGAGAAAGCCAGCAACTGTTTTTGCAAAGAGAAGGCTAAGCAGACATGTCCATCACATTTCAAGCATCTAAGTGGGGGAACATTCACCGGACATATACGTCACCTTACTACTAAAACCTTTCACTGTAGGGTTCACACTTGACCCACAGGAGTTTGGTGTGAAATTACCACTGGAAGATCCAGAAATAGTTTATTAATGTTTCCCTTGAGAAGTGTGAACAGTGTCAGCACAGACAGTTGTGGAGTATAGTTGTTTCTGTCGTGAGCAGAAATAGTTGGGTAGAGTGCTGTTTTAAAAGGCAGTATCCTCCACACCCTTTACTCAGTGTAAGAGAATGTCTACTTTTCTTCCCAGCATGGAGGCAAAGCCAAGAGGGACAGTAGTAAAGTGCCAAAACTGCAAACATTATAGAGGAGGACTGTACTGATAAAGTTAAAGAGAAAACGAGTCACTTCTGCTTTAAAAAGAAGGCATAGATACACTGCAAGTGCAAAGGCAACATCCATGAAAATATTCTGCCTTCCCCACTACCTGACAGGTACTCAAATTACCTCATTCTGACATGTTTAGCTAAAAGAATTAGCCACTCTGGAAGGAGCCAAGGGTACATAATAGAACTGTAAATTAAATATGAAGAAAGTCAAAATAAATGCCCATCGGGGTTCAAGACCAGGGTACAGGCAGCAGGAGAAAAATCAGAGGCACCAAGACCAGGGCAACAGGCAGAAACAGAGGCAAGAGTCCAAAGTCCAGTGGTGGACTTGAGGCGAGGCATAGTCCAAAGTCCAGTGTTGAAATCTAATAGCAAAGTCCAAGTCGTAATCACAAAATAGGCCTGGGTCAGGAACTGGAAGCGTATATCAGGACAAAACAAGGATGTGGTCATGAACATGCCAAGGGTCAAGAACCAGGAAGAGAAACACAGGTGCAAGTATCTTGAGGCAGGATGCACGGCAAGGCAACACACAGGAGCTAAACTGCAGCTAGCAGACAAACCTGCATTCCTGAGGCAACATGGCAAGGCAGGGTACAACAGGAACCAAATGTGCCAAGGGTCAGGCAAGGTGCAGGAGCTGAACCACACCATGGCCAGCAAGAGGAGCCCTGTCACTGAGCAGGGCAGGACACAGGTCAGGCAAGAGGAAGGCACTACAGAAACAAAAGCCCTATGTTGCTAGGCTTTAAAAAATGTGCTTGCATAGTTCTTCCCCAGCTGGTACTTGTCAGGAGGTTGAGAGCTCCAGCAGGGCCTGAGACTGATCCTGAGATACTAAGGTGTGCTTCTGGTTCTGATCATCGGGTGAAGCCCCAAACCAGCCTAGATCCTGACAATGCCACTTAGTGCAAACTCTGTCTACACCATCAGATGCTCAGCAGGATTACTGAACCACAATACAGGAAGCCATATGCTAGCACAGAGGCTCCTTGCGGGTTTATACACTTTGAAGCCATGTATAGAATGCTTTTTTTCTTCCTTGACTACACACCAGAACCACTTGACATACAGTTAGTTCCAAGGCATAACTGAGATAACAAATGGATTTAAACATGAAAAACCCAACTGTAAGCCTGAGCATGGAGTGAATGTAGATCGTCATGGAACCATGGGTTTTTGAAACCATGGTTCAAGCCCTGATCAAACCATGGTTTGTTAGCCATGAACAATTCATAAAGAGAATGCTTGGTTGGTTGTTGGCTTGTTAGCTGTGGGCTGTTTATCAGTTTCTTATCTTGGCTTGGCTGACACAACACAATAACCCATAGTTCAGGATACACTCAACCTTTAAGCATGGGTTACTGTCTTGCCTGAACCCACCCAGTGAGACTTGCTATATCAGCATGATTCAGCAGGTACATAGAGCCAAACTCATATATATCCCACCAGTGGCTCCAAAACCTATCAGTATGCTTGCAAAAGCTAGTGCGATAGCTTAGGGGTACACAGAACTACAAAGACTTTCTCTTTGAGAAGAAAAACTTTAGCGCAAGCTACAATTTACAGAGCTCCCACTAAAAGTTTCTTGAAGATATAGGAAAGGTCAAGGCAAAGCCCATGTTTAACTTAAGTTCAAGATCAAATATCATCAAGGGTGTGTGCGGCACCAGACAAGTTCCTTCCTAGGAATAACTGAGGTGCCACTGTTGATTTATGCATAACCTCTTGAACTCAGTCTTCATGTATGACGCAGCAGCTTGTCTGTCTGGGAAATTATTGGTTATAGATCGAAGGCATTGAGAGACTGAGTGGAAGAACTGAGTGGAAGTGGAAGATAAGAAACAATAATGAACAATTGTACAACTGCTTTAATTTTTGGTGTACTTTATTTAAAACGTATTTCAGTTAGCAATTACACAAAACTGCTTCTACAGATGTGATAATTCCTTTTGTTTTTGAATTTATAGCATGGAAGTTCAGCAGTGTCCTGTGAACTCTGTCATGTTTGCAAATCCACAGATTGCATCTGTTGCATTTACAAGAGTCAGTGTGGTATAGTGGCTCAGGTGTGGCACTGGGACACAGAAAATATGGGTTCTGTTACCCATTCAGCTATGAAGATCTGGTGACTCTGAATCAGTCACTGACTTTCACTCTAACCTACCTCACAGGGTTGTTCCTAACTCACAGGGTTCTTGTGAGGATGAAATAGGATTATGTAAGCTGTCTTGGGTTTCTTGCAGGAAATAAGGTAGGCTATAAATACAATAAATAAAATAAATATCACCATGTCACAAGCTTTGCACTGTTTGGAAACTGACTGTGAATGCTGTATTGACAAGGATAGGTTTGCCCATAGTACATAGCTCCAATTTTATACTATCCATAGTGGCTTTCGTTTCCTACAATGTGCCCAGAGTTACAGAAAACTCTGCTGATAGCACTTTATACAGCCTGCCAGCTTCTGTCATACAGTTTTATCCTTTTTGTTTTACTAGATTAGTTGTCAAGAATATGTTCTTTGGGTCTATTTGCTGGATTTTTTGCTTTAATGTCCAATATTGCCAATGGAAAATAGGACAAGATACTAATATTTTTTAATAAATAAAAGACTTGTAATGGGTTAGCAGAGTCTGACCACTACCGGTACTTGGGGAGTCATTATTCAAGGAAGCCTGTCAGGCCTGTGCTTAGTTGCTAGTTTTCAAAACCCAATTAAGAGCTTCCTGTTTAGATAGTTTGCACTTCTTTCTTGTTTTCATGTTGATGACTGCTGTTTCACTGACTGTTTTAAAATTCTTTTCATTGACTGTATTTCTTACATTCTGTTTCAATTGCAATGTAAAGTCATTTAGACAAGAACTTACAGGCAAGGCATTCATTTTAAGTGAGACTGATAAAGGAGATCAAAATAACTCCAGTATTTTGTTGTTCTTCTGGTCCCTGCATTGAATATAGAATAAATTTCTACAGTGCTACAGTATCCCTGCTTTATGAGTACAGAGTAACTCAATTCTCTTCTTGCTTTCTGAAGCTTAGGAGACCAAGAAGCAGGCAACTGAGACATGGCGTTAAACTTCAGAACTGCTGAAATTTTGTTTTAGTTGTGCTATGTGTTCATAATGGAAGAATGCACAAATTGCATAAATTTACAAGTGCCTTTGAATAGCAGGAAAACTCTGCTTAGGTTTTTATTATTTGCTAGATTAATAATTCTACCAAATAGATAGTGCTCAGGGTGGGTGTTAGTCACAGATAGTACTGCAACTAAGCCAAAGTATACATACCTGAAATAATCATATTCTTCCCCTGTTTACTGCATTACTGTTTTCTGCTGTCATTTCCTGTTTGTTTATTTTTAGGATGTAAGTTCAGGGAGGTAAATGCCCTTCAAACTTGACATTTGTAAAAATTTCTATATAATTGATTATGAATAAAAGCCCAGGCCAAATGTTACACATATTCACTTTTGAAGGCTGAATCCAATCATACTACCAACCTAACAACAGACCATGAGTTCTCTTCATGGTTTGTTCACGGTCAACAAACCATGGTTTATCAGCACTGTTGGGTTCAGACAACATGATAAACACATTTCAACAAAAAGCTCAAGCTGTAGTCAACCACTGAGTGTGGGTTATCATGTTGTTTGAACCAAGTCAAAAAAGTTGCTAAAGAGGCAGTCATTCTTAAGGCAGTCACAAACACATTGACTTATTGATATTCAAACATCAAAGGCCTTGAACTTATATTTCACTAGTGAATTGAACATTTTGTAATGCTAGTATGCATCATCCAATATATATACACTCAAGTTATCTGGCACTACCAGATAATTTTCAGTAAGTAGACAGCAAGTGTTATAAAACATATATATTGGGTAGCTGCAAAAATGCTTGCACACTGATTTTAAGCTCAAATAACTGCACACACAGGAACAAACAGCAATAAAACTGAAGCCTGGAACTAAACATCAGGCCTTAATAAAGGGAACATGAAGTCCTAGCAATGCTGAGACAATACCGCACCGATGCCTCCATTTTAAAGAGATAATTATGCAATCAAATGCAAGGAATTAATTGTGGGTTTCAGTAGTGTCCTGTGGCATCCTAGGATGTTACCACTCTTTCTTTAATTGTAGATGTAAAATGTACACAATCTGTAAGCACCTTAAGATGATGGAAGTGACAGCATCAGTATTAGGAGCTTTTTTTAAGATCCTGGACTGAACAATGAGATAATACTAGCACTGCTCCTTGTGTAGGTGGAGAAAGGAGAGGAAGAGGAAAGCCTTCTTCAGCATAAAACATCTGAATCTGAGAAGCAGTGCTTCATAACTGGGAGGCACACTTGACAGAGTAACTAGAGGGAGGGGGGATTGGCCCTGGTAATGCAGAAAAACTCCCTCTGCACTTGCACCCGGTGCTTCATGAGTCATGGAAGAAACACGAGAGATCAACAGACAAGCTTATGCCATCACTCATGTCTCCAGGGAAACTTTTCAAGGTGCAGCGTAATAGTGTATAGTAATCTGACAAATTCTAGTAATGTATAAGCCCTTTTCTTGAGGAATAACAATGCCCAGTTTGGTGAATGCAGCACAATCCTATGCATGCTTACTCAGATCCAGTTCCCACTGTGTTCAGTAAACTCACACAAAGCTGCAGCTCAGCATACAGCTAGAAGCATCAAGATCATTAAATTCCAAAGGAAGCTACAATAGTCAGTCAATTTCTGTAGAGGCATAACTCCATCCGAGTTACGAATGTCCAAATTCTGAACAACCCATACCTATGAACAAGCTGCCATACAGCATATTAACTTTTTTAAAAATACTGTGGAAAAATCATCACCGCAGAGAGAGAGAGGAAGTGCAAGGGGGCCTTCAAAGCATGCCTTTGTACCCCACCCATCCAGATAAGGAAATCTCTGACATTTCCTTGCTGCAAAGAGGACGCGCTGGTTAGTTTGGGTAGGGAAGGGGAGCTAGAGATATTTTCAGTTTTTCCACTTTAACGGGGATCCTGCGCCCCTAACCTCTGTGAATGTGGAGAGCTTACTATATGTGATCTGATTTACATACAAAATTTGACGAATTTCCATCCTCTAAAGAATTGAACTTGTTCATAAGCTGGGGGCTGCCTCTAACCCTCTTTCTTGTAGCCTTTGTGTGGGCAGCCTGCAATTCTTTTACCTGCAATATGAACATCTATTTGTACCATGTTTCTGAAACCCTCAGGAGAAATTGTTTTTGTTTCTAGTATAATTTTAAATTATTCCAAGTATTTCAAAATTGTTTTATTTTCTAATATAACATCATCCATTTCTTCTTGTCTTGTCATTGTTTGTCAATATCAAGTGCTTCAAGTAGAAGTTGCAAACATGATTGTATATTGTATTATATATACATAATTCTTTGGAAGCATCCTGAGGAGTGAACATTCAGCAGTCTTCACTATGGCATTTCACAAAATTAGAGGAGGTGATTTGTCATGAAGGAGTGAGCAGAAGGGCAAAAACACAGTAAGAATATTTTGCACTCCTTCATATAAATGATAAACTATCACATTATGTATGGATGAATGAATGTGCAAAATATTTGATGGAAAACTGCCATTTTATTTATTGGATATTTATCCCACCACATTAGCCAGTAAGGCTCCCTGAGGAGGTTACAATTTGGCAAAGTCTGCCAGCTGCTTCAAAACCCTGTTCTATTATACTGAAACTGCAAAATTTAACCTCATCAATAACTACCATATTTTCCCCACTTTAAACAAAAATATTTCTTTTGAAAAACACTGAGCAAATATTTAGATGCCTCTAAGAATAATTCTTGCAAGATAAAGTAGTAAAGCAATGTGCTACACAACTTTCTCCAACAGCCATGTGCATAAATAAAGGGAATCTAGAAACTGAAAATTACTCTAAGAATTATGATCTTTACTTGCCCACCTCTTAGCTTGTATTCAAATCTGAACTGAACATACACCAAGTTAATAATTAATCCATTACTAATTATGCAAGAAAATTATGGAAGATATTTACACACCCTAATCAGGATTTTATTTAGACATGCCTTGAAATGCCTTCGGACATGGCCTTCACAGTGTCCCCTTTTTCAACTATGTTGTATATCTCAGCATCCCTTCCTTATACCCCTGGCTTCCCCTTTCTCTTTACTGCTACTTCTGCTAAACTCAAAGGTAGGTTAAAAAGCATGTCCTAGGCTTACCTCACAATCCAGATGAAGCATCCCTGCTCAGTGTCTGGAAAATGGCCAGCCTACAAGAGCCCTACCTCAAATGGCAAACATCCAGATCCACAACTTAATCCAAGAGGAAGGATAAGACTGTTTCAATGAACTTGTTACTTGTCTGGTATGCTTTTCCCTATAGAGATGACAATACTAGCATTAATAAGTTAAAGGTACCTTATTATGGAAGCAATAGGATGGTCCAGTGTATCCGAATGTGTTACTAGATGGTTACTTTGCTTTAAAAATAATATGGTTAATACCTGTTCAGAACTTTCCAATGGAGATAAATTTATAGTACCTTATATTGCTTAATATTCCTGTCGCTTCAAAAGTAAGAGCCATGTAGGTTAAAAAAAAGAAAGCAAAATGCAAAGGAAAAGGAAAGTTTGTTCAGCAGTAGATAGAGTTAAGTTAAAGTTATGTAACACTTCTGCTGGGACACAGGCAAGGCAGCAGACAGCTTGCTGATGGGCTAAAAATAGAATAATCCCAATTACAGCCACACTTCTACTTTTTCAAGGTTTCCTGTTTCATGAGCTCAGAGAAAGCTCATGAATGGAGAGGGTGGAAAGAAAGAGACATGAGTCCCAAAGGCCCATTTTGTTTTTCTTTTGACTAAAGGAACACAAGCTTTTGGCAGGGCTGAACAACAGAACATATCTTTTCTTCCCTAGCCTACCTTGCTGGGCCATGAAGTTCTGGATGTGAGCTAATAAGAACCAGATGAGGCACATTCAAATCTAGCCCTGCTAACAGCAAAAGGAGGGCACAAAACACAACATCTCTCCCCCTGCCCCTCCACTAGAATAATTTGACATTCAGCTGATGGTCTTCTGGTGGCTGGTCTAAATATAAATATGGTTTCTTGAAGAATTCTTTCAAATTTAATGGAAAAATAGAATATGGCCAGCCTATAAAACATGTGCTTTCCATGGCTTTATTTTTGTAGGTCATGTCTCAAAAATCTCTACATAGAGATCTACCTATATTTTCCTTAATATGTCAGAATTTTATTTGCATAGCTTCCCAATACATCTTTTCATTAACTCCTTCCCTGTCTGTGTGAAACACATTCACATAATTATGTGCCTTAAGAATGAGAAAAATGTTAAAATGCAACCCCCCCCCCATTTAAACAAACTGGAAGTCAGTTATTCATATCTTGAAGGCACATAATCTCACTGTATCATTATGTCTATGAAGTAATGTATGCTCTGTAATCTGAACCACAGGACTCAGTTTTTAAATCGAAATTATAAGCGTTCACCTTGTCATGGTTCCAGAGTCAGGTTTTCAAAGAATTGGAGATGTTTTGGGAAAAGAGTAAGAATGAGGAAAGACCGTTCAGGTACAAAGTTAGCTACTTGGTGGGTGGAACAGAGAGAAACAAGATGACAGAGAAGGCAATTAGAGCAACACATCTGCTTGGCACATGACAAACCTGATCAAGTGCAGGCTTGAGTTTCTATTACAGCCTAAGCCTGTAGTGATGATGGCTGCAAAGAAATCTTACTTTTGTCCATTCAAGAGTCTGCTAGCAGAGCTGTTGCAAGCTGTTAGAAGGCATTTTAATCACAACCCACAAGTTGGAGAAGAGGACTGCTCGGTAACCAACTGTGTCCAATTTCCAAGACACTTTAAGGATGAAATTTTCTGCATCCATTTGGACTTAGATGTTGCAGTTACAGCACTGCCAGGAGATGCACATTTGGCAACTACTTATCCAGTCACAGTAGATACATTTCAATTTGTGCAGCTACAGGATGTGGATAGGTGCACTCCTTTGACAATCTTGTACAGCCAGAGATGGACTGGCTAAGTGGGTAGTGAGGGTAGTAAAGGTGTCTCAGCAAAAACATGCCCAAGTATATTTTTAAAAGGCTGTAATGAGATATAAAGGGGGGGGGGGCTCCCTTAATACCTCTGCGTGGGACAATTTCCAGACAGCATTCTATGCTTGGGCACGTCTCCCAATTCTATAGCAACTTCTCAGCTCCAAGTTTCCTTGTATGATGCAGCTGATCTAGAAGAGTTTTGATCTGGCTTTAGACCAAGTTTTGGGATCATGACAGCCTGGTTCACCTTGATAGATAACCTACCCTGGGAATAAAATAGGTTTTCCTAGACTCTGCAGCAGCTCTCAGTCATGGGATTCACAAAACAGCCTCATTAATACTAGACAAATCTGGAGGCGTTT